TCTTGCTGTCTAGGCACTAAAGCTGACTCACTGACACAGACATCCTGGGCAGATTCACATACTGATGAACACCTCGGTGCAAACCAGCCCTTCTTCTTGCACAGTGGATCCCCCTGCCCTTATGGAGTGCAAAACGTGGAAAGTATTTAAATTCTTATTTCCAGGCTCCCATCCTAAAGAAATAATCTGACATATGGACAAACACTTATGCATGAAAATGTTCTCTGCAACATGATTTATAATGTGAAATTCAGTGAACTACTCAAACCCCTGACATCATGGTGCTGGCTGAGCAATTTATGGCATCATTATGTGATGGAATATTATATGGCCACCAAAAGCATATACAAAAAGGTGTTTTTAATTACATAAGGAAATATAAGAGAACAATATAGGGAAAGTGTAAAGAAAAAAGATGCATGAGTAAAAGACTACACTCACATGAAAACATCTTTAAGGCCTAGTGATAAGTGAAAAAAAAAATCAGAATCACAGAAAAATAAACAGAGAATAATTATATTCCTTTTTTTTGTTAGGATAAAAATCCTGTGTTTCAGGTAGAAGTACTGTGGAAGGTGAAAGAAGGCCATGCCAATTTTAGTAATGCCTAATCCCAGGAAAACAGGGGGTGGTTTTCCACTGATTGCACTGGATTCTCATGTACCTCCTGAACCTGGCCCTGCCAGCAACAAGGAAACTGTTAATATTATTCTTAAATTATTTGGACAATTAGAAAAGCAAAAGTGATAGCATGAAGGTGTTTATAATGTGACAGTTACACAAACGTATACACATGTTCACAAAAAGGTCAATTTTATTGGACATTAATTTTTAAAAGTTAAAAACAGGGGAAAATATAAGAAAAAAAGACTTGTAAGAATGATGGCTTAAAAATGAAGTGGCTATCTCTGGATAATGGAATTACAGGTAGTTTTATTTCCTTCATCATTTATATTACTCTGTGCCTTTTTGAATTTCTACAAAGATCATATATCACTTTGAGAATTAGATAAAAATAAAGATTAAAAAAATACCGTAAGAGAAAGAAATCTGGAGCCTGACAGGGACCTGCCACCAGACACAGCCCAGCTCCAGGAAGGCAGGCAGGCACAGAGGCTTCTTGCACACACCTGCTGGAGGTGAGCTGGGCCAAAGAAAGCATCTCTTCTCAGGCCTGTTGCCCAGGACAAGGGGCAGATGGAGCAGGAGGCGGGTGGGGGCAGACTGCATGCCTCCAGTTATCTCCTGCAGCACAGGGCGGAGGACAGGCAGGTGACTCTGGCTCCCTAGCAGATTCTTCTTAGGCCTCCACACCTGCGTGGGTGTTGGTGGGCCTGGTGGAGGGACGAAGCTGCTTCTCAGGGATGCCCTTGGCTCCTTTCAACCCATTCCAGTGATGCTGACCAAGTTGCCACAACCACTGCACCACGTCCTTCCCCAGAAGGGACATGGAAAAGGACAGAAAACAAACAGCAAGAGAAGAGGAGTAACAGTGGACAATCTGACTTCTCAAACAAAATACTACACAAAGAAAAAAGGTCCCAGGGAATGGCAGCAACCATTGCTGCCCTTTGTAGACCCCATCTTTGTTCTCTGTGTGATGGGAGAACTGAGCCTGGAGCTGCAGACTCCCGTGTCCCATGTGCACCAAGGGCCAGAGGGTGGCCAGGTATGAAGCCTCCCAGACAAAGGAGGCGGGCTGAGCCAGAGGGAGGCTGCTCTAGGGCTGCAGGAGAGGGCTCTGTCACACACAGCACTGTGTATGTGGACACACCCCTCCAGCCTGGCTCCTGGAGGGCCCCTGGGACAAACCTAGTATCTTAATGTGAGCCGGGGCAGGCTGGAGCTAGCCCATGTGGAGGGTCTAGCCTAGTGCTAACCTATGCTTATTATTCACTGATGACCCAGGAGTCCGGTGCACTGAAGAATGCACATGGGCTTTCAACAGATTCACTGAGAGGGAGAGGGAAGGAAGATGAGGAGGCCACAGAGAAGCTGAGCAGGGGAGTGAATGGCAAGAAAGCTGGGGAGAGGGTAAAGGAGCTGGGGGCCAGTATAAGTCTCAAGATGGGTCCAGCTTCAGCATAGTGAGGATATACAGCCAGGTCCTACGTGCTTCTGCCAGGGACCCAGGAATGTGCTCCACAGGCGTCCCGTGAAAGTTCTAGGCAGAGAAGCAAGTGATTTGCCTCTGTAACCTTCAGTCGCCAGGGGAGCACCCACCTTGGGCAGGCCCACCTGGGTCAGGAGAAAAGCGGAAGACCCTCTCTCTCCAGGCTTTGCAAATTAGGACCCGTAAAGAAACTAAGCGACTGAGCACTTACTACACAAACACAGAGACAACACTGCAAAGACGGTCTGTGGGTTCTCTCTGGAAGTACCAGGAATCACTGTAATTTTCCTCATACTTTCCTGTTACCCCTTCACAAATGTACATCCGTTACATTTAGAATTAGCTAACTGTCATAAAAATAAATTCCGCTGTTTATATTGAGCCCCACGATTTCAGTCTGTTGGGGTGTTTCTTTCTGCAACTGTTTGGTATTTTACCTGGCTATCCTTTTTCCAACTCCAACCCTTGCAAATCTGAAAGTATGCCATGTTTCTTACAGCTTCAACAAAGCTGCTATCTGAAAACAAAAAGCACTCTCTCTAGCCAGGTCCAGGCCAGATTCAAGGGCACAGAGGGATGCTCCCCCATAGTGGCACCATCCTGCCTGATTCTCTTCTTTGCTCAGAAAAACAGCAACTCACTCTGGCAAATGTCTTAAGCAAGGTATGCCAGCTTATTCCAATCACCCTGTTCCGCACACCCAACAGTCCTAAGTAGAATGTAATGGTCTGCTCCGTAACAGATCCCAGCCTATTTTCCTAAATCTCCGCAACAGTCTGTTCCCAAACTATTCCCTATTTGACCTGGGATGGACTGACAACTATAATACTGTGATTTGCAGAAGTCATCTTTTCTGGACTTGGGAAGCCTGGGATGGCATCGTGGGTTTCTGGCCTCCTGACACTTGCCCTGGTTTCCTGATCACTGTGGGCTTTTTGGAACATTTCTGCACCAGGTGTAAAGTCCAGCAACAGAGAGCTCTGCTCTCAGCTCTCCATCCTGAGCTCTGAATCCCCTTTAAACCAGGTCAAAGAACATGCTTCCAGATAAGGAGGTGAGCACAGAGAGAAGAGCGTTCAGTGCACAGCCACTGCCATCTGATGCAATGTCATCAGGACATCAACCTCAGCCTTGGCCAGATCCCTCTTCACTCCAGGTGAAGCAGAAGTAAACTCACACACACAGAGCCATGAATGGCCAGGGGACAGTAGACTCACTTGCTTCAGACAGAGAGAGGATGGGGGTGAACTTGTCCCAGGGGACAAGTGAAAACAGCCAGCCAGTATCTGCCTTTATAGCAGGGACAGGGAGACAAGTAGAGTGACTGTGGATTCAACATCAACATCATAGCTTCCTGCAAGGCCTTCTTTCCTCAGCAGCAGCTCTGAGAGTGGCCAGCAGAGCACAAGTGAGCCAGGGAGGCCACAGCAGCGCAGCCCAGCTGTCCAACAGTGGCAGTCTTCCAGGCACCTCTAACCTTGGGGACGACCTCACAAGGCCACAGCAGATCTGGGAGTGACACATTCCAAAGCCTGTTATTGCCTTTAATCAGGAGGGTCCCAAACTGGAGATATCTTTGACACTTACTTTTTTGAGCTTTTTTCATCTCTTTTCTAGAAACTCAGAAGAACCATAGGAAACACTTTTCCTTTAGATTCTCTTAAGAAGTGAGCACTTCTTAATGAGGAACTAGGGAAGTCGAGAGTAATAGTATGTTTATGGACAATTCCCGGATGAACCAAACGCATGTGATGCTACGGGGAAGGGGACAGTGAGCAGGAGCCTGGGGTCAGGACTTGACCCTGCTCCTCCCAGGTCTCTGTGGCCCCTGAAGTCTGAAGTACAGTACTCAGGAGCAGTGGACAAGCTGATATTTCTCTGTGTGACAGTCTCCCTATCTACAAAATGGGACTAATCATACTCACTCTGTAGCACCGTGGGTAAGGTGAAACATGACCTTTCTGGAAGCCACTCTGTCATCATCAGTGTGACAACACACAAGTATTAGCATGAGGATCCAATGACATTACAACTATGACACTGATCCATGAAACTTGTAATTCATTTTTGTTTGTTTTGTTCTCCTCCATAATCTCTTACTCACCATCACTGGGCCAAAAAGCTGGCTGGAGGCTACAAGAGAACACACCCCACATGCAGGCCCTGTCCCAGGCTGTGCTGATAGGGCAGCCCAGCTTCTCACCCATGAGGGGCCAGCTCCATCCCTGGGGTGCCATCCCCTTGCGCTCATATGATCCTTGCTCACCCTTCCAGGAGTGGCCTTCCTCCTCTTGGAAATCAGTTTTCCATTCTCCATAGGTGTGGGGAGGACACTGGCCCAGAAAGATCCTGAGCTGTAGGACTTCCAGCCATTATTGCAAGTACCTGCTAACAGTGCCGACATACCTACTAACAGGCTGAGACGGAAACCAGGTGAAGCAAAAAGAAGGCAGTCTAGAGTTGGGCGATCGGAGGCTCTAGCTGGCCTCGTGATGCCTGCTCAGCTACCCGGCAAGCACAGGCCCTCTCTGTGCCTTGGTTCCCCAGCCCAGGTATGAGGAGGGTCGGCTACTGCTCTAGGTAGACTCTTAAGACCACTTCCCATCCTGACTCCTCCATTTTATGCTGGTGTAGAGGAAGCCCAGGCCTGCAGGTGGTGGAGCCTCACTGAGCACTAGCTCAGGGACACCTGTGGCCTGATCAGGACTTCTGTACGGTTCTGACGATAATGCAGGGCGGGGATCCCGCCTGTCCCCATTGCATCCCCAGCTTAGCACTGCTCCTGGCATCCAACAGTAAGTGCCCGCTGGACCTGGGTCCCAAAGCAGCACGCCCATGCTACTCTGCAGGGTGGAGGGGGCAGAGGGGAGAGCAGAGTTCCACTCACATGGGGCGTGGAACATGACGAGGACAGAGGAGTGTTCCTTCACAAACTGGTCAAAGTCTTCATCGGTCAGGTGATAAACGGAGCCGCCCTCATCTGCCCAGGGAGTCTCGGGGACCTGGGGCTGTGGCGGGTGCGGACTGGAAGACCAAAAACAGGCAGAGCTCAGAGCAAGCCCGGGGCCTGAGAAGCCCTTACAAAATCCAGCCCTCTGGACACAAAGCTCCCACTGGGTTGGCATGTCCCATGCCAGGGGCTTGGGCTTCAATATGCCAGAAACTGGCCTGGTGGAGGAGTCATGGAATGAGTGGCATGGCCTGCCCACCTCCAACTTCCCTTGAGAGTCCCAGAGAGGTACTTAGCTCATACCCTGGTACAAATAGTGGCTTTCAGCTATCGCTCTGTAGGCAGTTCAGGAAATCTCACTTCCTCCCAGGAAGTGGGGGGCTTGTTAGCTTTCTCAAGCTATTGCAAAATATCAGCAAACTGGCCAAAATAAACATCAACAGTGGAGAGTGTGACCTTTGGAAAAGCTCCCTGTTGTGCTCAGTACTCCCCGCAGGGTGGGGGTGGAGGGTGGACAGGGGAGATGGAGGGAGGTGGCTGTGTGCAGTGGTTGAGGAGGAAGGAAAGTGGCCAGGTGTATGAGAAAGACTAAATCCAGGTTGGGAGAAGAAGCTGCTATGGGGGTGCAGGGGTGACCACTGACCAGCCTGAGGGAGAGAAGGTTGGGGTATCCTAACTGTGACAGTGTCCACACCACCTCCCTAATCCTTCCAGAGGCCAAGAACAAACTTATGCAGTTCTCCCAGAGCCCAAATCAATGCCACCACTCATTAGCTGCAAAACCTTGGGCCGCTGCCTGACCTGTCAGGTGCCCATCCCCATAGTATGTAACTACACGCTGATATCTGCAAGGGAAAAGGCTCCCAGTGCCCTCCCTTGCTTGGGATCCCTGCTGCTTTACTGCCACAAGAACCTTTGCCAAAAAAGCACCTTAAGTGCAGTTTTGAAAAAACCCTTTAGTATGACAAATGTGAAAAGACAACCACTGTTTCCTGCCCATGAGGGCTGATGGTAGGAAACATTTTAAAGTTCCAGCGCTCAGGGCTGGAGAATTCATCAAAGAGAGCAGCAGGGCTCACACAGCCTGTCAACAACCCACGCCCCCACAGCAAAGCCTGGGTTTGGATGTTACCTTCGGAAGCCCACACTGGTGCTTCTGACTGGGTCCTACCGGCAGCCCCAGCCTCCCCGGTCCCAAGAGATGGAAAGTGGCAGGAAGATGGCAAACCATCTCAGGCCACACATATCCAATGTCAGATGGAACTGGTGGCAAAAATCAAGCTTCAGAATGAGTCACCAGCCAGACAATGGTCCCAGACCACACCATGGAATCCAGCTTCTTACTCCTGGATTCAAACCACGAACCCCCCAACCACCAATTCCACTAGGGAACTCATCTTCAAGAACACCTGCACACACACAAACTTACGTGAATTGGAAGGTATTTACCACAGATTATATGACATGGCAGAGACTGGATACAATCCATTATTCACAGGTAGGGAGGGGACAGGTAGGGTAAACTGAGGTCCCACCAAACAGTGGAGGGCTGAGTACTGAAGGAAGAACCAGGACTCACTCTGTATAATGACATGGACAGACTGCTGGACATGGACAGAATGGTCTATGATTTATTAACTCACATAAAAACGGGAAGACAAAATAAACTCACTCATATTTGCTTGCTTCTGCATAAGGACTTTCAGAACAGACAAGAAATGAGTTGAAGTTGTTACCTCTAGGGGGTGGGAGGAGAATACAACAGAGAAAATGGGTGGAAGAGAGGCTTTTTGATGTATACTTTGTAAGTATCTTTAAAAAGCTTTTTTATGATGTTAATGTAATCTATCCAAAAATCAAAATAAATTTTTTTAAAAATCCAGCAAGAGAATAAATACAAGATGGAGAAGCTGTGACTTGGTCGGGTCACACATGTATGAAAGAGCCTAAGATATATGTGGTTAAACACGGAGGAGAATGTACCCCCAAACCAACAAAGTGACAGTATAGTTGTTGTTTTTTAAAAATATGAATCCTCTGGAGTACAAAATACAAAGCAGAAAAGGGCAAAAGATACCAGCACAATATTAGAAGCTAGGAAATCAACTTCACAAACGGGAGGCAGAAAAGTGAGGTACTGGGTGGGGAGAGCGAGGACAGGGCCCAAGGCAGGGCCTGAGGACCACAGTGATGCACAAAGATGAGGGCCCCCAAGGACCCAGAGGCACCAGGCTCAAAGCAGAGCTGCAGCCCCCTCTGAAAACAGATGTCACTAAACTTGGAGCAGCCGGACCCCCAGGTCCTGGGAAGCACCTCACTCCCACCCAACAGATGACCAGAAGTTTGCTGTCCATGGAGCCTGCAGGGTGGGTGGAGGTAAGAAAATGTGCTGGAAAGAGCAAGTGAACAAAGATCTGAGCCCAGAACACTGAGTCTGCCCTTCACCGTGGGCCTCCCCAGAGGCCCTTTACTTTTTGAATCCAACACACAGTAGATGCCCAATAAATACTTGAGAGAAAAGTGGTTAAAGGAATGGGGGATGTTTAATTTGGAAAACATGAGAGAACACATTGGCTATCTTCAACCATTTCACACTGCCTTCAAGAGAAATTCTGGTTTTCTATGGCCCCAAATTGGAGCATCAACACCAACAAGCGGATGCACCAGAGAAGGAAACATCAGCTCAGCATAAGCTAAGATCCACTCAGCAGGACATCAGAGGAGAGAGGGACAGAGAGCAGAGTGGGAGTGACAAGACCTGGTTGGGTCTGACTTCCTCTGCTCACTAGCTCCAGGAGCTCAGGCAAGCAAACTGGACTTAAAATGTCTGTAGGACGGTGTGTGTGTGTGTGTGTGTGTGTGTGTGTGTGAGATCCTTCCTTCATTTGCCTCTCAGGTAAGGCAGAGAATGCATGCAAGCTGTTTGTAAATCTGTAAAATGCTACCCAAGTGTTCCTAGATGTCATACATGACCTTATCCATAAGAATCGTCCAATATGGATGCAACCTTAACACAAGGCAAAGGGGACGGAGGAGAGGAAAGCATTCAGAGGGCACTGCTTGGGCATTTCATGTCTTCTCCAAGCCCTTCCAGGCCTCTGACTGCTGTGTGGTTTGGGGAGGGCAGCTGTCTCAGGCTCTCTAGCACTGAGGACCACACACCAGTTCCTCATCTCAGGGAGGTACACGTACATAGATGGGAAGATTTGACTAGGAACACTGTAAGGCAAGAATACTTCATGTCCATTAAGCTCTGGTTGGCTTAAGAATACACAGCAGAAACGTGGCTAGGCCAAAGCACGTAGCCGCTCCTGTGTCCCCTACCTGCCTTCCTAGTCCAACCCAAAACAGGGACAACTGCCACGGTCAGGGTGTTTGCTCCAGGACCTCACGTACTGGGGCATCAGGACTGACTCCTGACCTGCATCTCTCCATGCCACCCACCACATTACCTGGTAGAGAGAAGAATGTAGGTTCTTCTCTCCTGGGCTTTTATTAAGTCATTTGGAAAGTGAGCCAGGCTGGATTCACCTTTGGCCTTCTGTGCGTGGCCTCATACGCCCTGAGTGGCTAAAGGCCAACAGAGAGGCCCAGGGAAGGTGAGATCATTACCACCTGCCAGGACTGTGAGGGGAATCTGATAAAGACTTAAAATGAATGGGACAGGGAAAACCCACACATACAGCTGGGTATACGTGGAGGAAAAACCCAGAAGGAAATTCACCAAGATATTACATTGCTTTGGGTAATGGGGCAGGAGATATTTTTTTTTCTCTTGGTTACACTCTACTTTAGAGATTTTCTATAATAAACTTGAAATATCCTTAAAATTAGAAAAGACTTTAAAATCAAGCCTGTGGAAAAAAAAAATAAAATAAAAATAAAAAAATAAAATCAAGCCTGTGAGTAGCACAGTGACATCACCAACTCCTGCTGGGGCACGAGGGCAGGCAGCTCTCAGGATGCCCCATTAGGCGGCAGGCTGCAGTTGACCTTCAGCATGGCTGACCTACATGTGTGCCTCAACACAGTATTTGTGGGTGGCCAGGAGGGGCTATAGGGACCCCACATACCGTATCCCCTCCTTCCCTGAAGGTATCCACATCTCTCCCCCTCAGACTATGGATGAACCTGAGGTAAGGAACAGGGGCTCCTTCCCACTAGAGAGGAAAGGGAGGAGGGAAGTGGGAGGTAGGAGGTGGAGAGGGGCCGGTCCAGGCAGGTGGCCCTGGGTTCAGGAAGGCCAGAGCAAGGTCTGTGGGGAGCCGGGTGGGGGTACAGCGAGGAGAGAGTGGGAGGACAGGGTGGCATGCTCCAGTTGGGAGGTCATAACCTGTCTCAGAAACTCCACTGATGTGCTCCCCTTGTCTGAGGCTAGCAGGCGATTCTGAACACTTTAAAAAAAAGAAACAGAAAACCAGACCTTATCCTTCCAAAGATATGAGGGTGTTTTGAAACCAGGAAAGGTTAGAGAAGGGGGAGGGAAGCAGACAGATTTTTATGCTCTGGTGACAAATGAGATTGCTATTTGTTGAAACCTTCTCCCAAAGCAGAGTGAGATATGTCTGGCTGGAGGAGAGGACATGCTTATTATCAAATGAAAAAGGAAAATAGGAAAGCGAAGGCCAGATTGAGACAATGAATACATGATAATGGGGAGCAGCCTTCTCAGGCAGAGGCTGAAAATAAGGTAGCCGATGGGGACAGAGATGTGAAAATCCTTTGGAGAAATAAAAAATGCTATGCAAACGTGGGACTGCAAGGATGCGTCATCCTCCAGGCCCTGGGGAATGGGGAGAGCAGCAGACAGAGGTTTTCAACCTTTAGGTATCCAACAGCTGTTTCCAATGGGGCTTTTAGAAAATTTTTTTAATACAAAATCCAACCTTTTTACCATTGTGAAAATACATACGTTGAACTCCCTATCTTTCGCTAACTAATTATTTGACTCTGGGATTTGCACAGTAGGTCCCCAAAGTAAGGGTGTCAATAAGCACCCACGTACTAGCAACTGGGGAAGGCAGGGGACTCGGGACAGAACTCAGTGGAGGCTGAGCTGAATGGTGGAGAGCCACCTCCATGGGGAGTGGGATCAGCTCTAGGACCTCAGGCAAGCTGCTCTCCCACAGTTCCTCAGTGCCTCAGGGACCTCAGTGCAAACTGAAGTACAGAGGTCTCTAAGACCTGCCTCAGCACCTGGCTGTGAGGTTTAAACAAGTGCTTAGAATAGTGTCAGCCACAAACTGGAGCACTCAAAACATTAGCTGTTATGATAGGTGAAAACAATCAAAGGGGTGATCAGGACGCAGGACGATGGGGCTCCAGGTGAGGGCTGGTGCCAATGAGTGGTGGGATCTGGTATTCAGTGGTTACATTCTAAACCAGGGAGGGCACACCGAAGCAAAGCAGGGTCTGGAGGGGTGGGGGGCCGAAGGCAAAAGGTAAAGTCTGAGGCCCTGAGAATATTTCTTAATAGCATCATAGTATTTAATACACTGTTGTGTTTGAAATAAATGTTCAAGTGAGAATTCTATTTTCAGAGAGACCATTAGTGGAACTTTTCTCAAATCTGATATCCTGGGGGAGAAATGCCTCTATCCATCAGATAGTGTGTGGCAGGGAACAGATTCAATTTGAAATGTGGAGCCGGGCATAATGGCACACACTTGCAATCCCAGCAGCTCAGGAGGCTGAGGCAGGAGAAGCAAAAGTTCAAAGCCCAAAGTTCAGCAACTTAGTGAAGCCTTAACTCCCTCCTCCTGTTTGTTGCCCTAAGCATCTTAGCAAGACCCTGTCTTGAAATTTAAAAAATAAATAAAATAAAAAAGGCTGGAGATGTGGCTCAGTGGTTCAATCTCCAGTACAAAAACAAACAAACAAACAAAAAAGTGATAAGACTTCAGAAAGCCCTTGACTAATCTAAGAGCACTGACAGGTTTAGATGGCCCCATCCCAACTCCTGGTCATACAGAAGAGGGAGAGGGGAGACATATTCTGACCAGCATCTGATCATCACAGGCCCAAGGCATTCCAAATCCTCACAACTCCTGCAGTCCAAACCCTTCTGATCCACCCCTGAGAGACTGGAGCTGTGGCCACCTGCACAGGCAGCACAATGAATCTCCTTCCCTTCCTCACTCTCTTCCCACAGAGCCCTGTGACTGAGAAGCCACCCTCAGGCCCCCTCCCTCTGGCTGCACACCCTCTGACACGAATGCCTGACTTACTTCTTCAGCCACTGCACGATGTCCTCGGCTGTGGACCCGTAGTTGTCATACTGGAACAGAAAACGGCCTTTCCTGAGAAACATGGAGAAACAGCATGGCTCAGCCAGGGACGTCAACGCCATCAGGGAGGGGGCAAGCTTCAGAAGGGAAGCAGGGGACTTACTCAAAATAGCAGATGGTGGGGTAGCCACGCACGTTGTACTCCTCCTTGATGTTTTCAAACTCAGAGGGGTAGACGTTCATCCCGGCCAGCACCTGGAGGGAAGGCAGAGGAACTAGCCCACCCTCTGCATGCTCGTCCTGTCTGTGCCTAAACACACTGTGTGTGTATGTGTCCATTCCATAAGAGAGATGGGACAAAGTCTCTCAGACTGAAGAACAACCAGGGCCACTAGAGAGCCAGGCTGGCTAGCCATCTGGGACTAACAATGGAGAGCTCTGGAAGAGTCAGACTTCTGTGTCCAAGTGCTGCACTCCATACAGCTGCTCCTTCATGCCTGCCCTGTAGGGTGGCCATGCTTGAGGAAAAAGCATAGTCCTGAGAGCCGAGGAAGAAACCTGGCCTTGCTACCGAGTTCAAGCAGGACCTGGAGTGGGGCTATGCCACCCAAATGCATTGTATGTCTTTCTGTCTGCCCTTGTCAACTCAGGCTGTGCCCTTCTCCTAGGTTATGGATTAAGTGGCTTTCAGACACCACTGAGCTCAGTACAAGGCCCTCAGATACTTCTTGCATACCTCAAGGCGGTCCTCAGTCTTTCCATCTACACTTGACACATGACGTTCTCAGAACTCATGGCTCAGATGTGGTCAAGGAGACTGGGTGGTTCTCAGGTACAACATGAGAAACAAGGTATCTGTGTCTACCTCTCCTTCCTTCAGACTTTGCCATGTCTCCCTAATTCCCTCTTCCTGTTTGTGACGGTCACCCTCATCTTGGCTGACCATAACCACAGAAGCCAACAAGTTCTGGTTCCAGGGATCCACCTGGCCAACACCCCAGAATTGGAAAGAGTAGCTTTTAGTAGCTATGCTACTGACATGGGGCTAAGTACTAAGAACAACCCAGAATACAACATCCCCTGAGATTCTTCCCTTCCTGCAACAGGTACCTTCTTCTCTAGGGCTGGGTGAGGCAGCAGGACTTGGGAATCTCTTCTTATAAGGGAACATCCCTAGCATGGACAGACAGGGGAGAACTGTCCACAGAGCAGGGTGGCAGAGAGGCAAGGGGAAAGGAAGTTCCTCAGGGCCAACAGCAGTTACGGCATAAGAGAAGCAGCCCATGAAGCTCAATCTCACCATTTCTAATACATAAGGACACACAGGAAGAGAAAGGAACAACTGGTTTCAGTGGACAATGCACCAGAAGACAAGACCTGGGCAAATCACCCTGGGCAAGTTTCCTTGTCTGGAATATGTGGGTAATGATATAGTCACAGGGCTTGTAAGAGAATGGAATGAGATAACCCGTGTCAACAGCTTTAGCACAGAACTAGTGTTCAGTGACCATCAAGGTTCTTACTTCCTATAAATTTTCCTGGTGACGGAGACTACATGTGCCTCTGGTCTCTCTATCCCCAGAGGCATATTGATGTGTCTTTCCATCTGTTTCAAGTACCTAACACAATGCCTGGCATACAGCAGGCACATAATAAATGCTTGCTAAATCACTGATTTGTTTTTTCCCCAGGCCGTTTTGGGATGCTGCAAAGAATAGAGAACAAACCTAAAACAGAACTTACTAGAAGCCCTGGAGCCCTCTAAAAGCCATCCTGCTCATTTCCCGATTGATTCAGCCTGTTCCAGTAATATTCGTCTACTTTAAAGTTCTTTTTTTCTGTCTAATTGATCTCCCTTGCGTCAGTGCACATTCACTATAAGATTAATCGTACACATCCTCCTCTTTCATTACATCAGTTCCCTGCACAAAAACCTCCCAATCCCATTGAATATAGGCTAAAATCCAACTCCATACTCAGCCCATATGGTCCCAATCTCATTTTTGAATCCTTTTTTACAAAACTCTTCTTTGTATACCTGCTAGGGTCTCAATTTTTTATTTACCTGGGTAGAAGACAGCTCGAGATTTCTGCACAGAAAGGAAATTGGACCTCTGCCTTTTCAGGCCCTGTGGAGCTCAGCAGCAGCTGAGAGCAGGGGCTTAGTGCTCAGGTCTCCTGGGCTGGAGTCCTGACTCCCCACTTGGCAGACTCATCTCCTCCTTGGACAAGTCACAGTGCCTCTTTGCCCCATCTGCAGCCACCATGTGCTTGTGGAGAAGATTAACTGAGATAATGTGAATAAACAAATAAAGCATCTTTTTTTTTTTTTGCTTGTGTGTGTACGTGTGTGTGTGTGTGTGTACGTGTGTGTGTGTGTGTAATTAAAGACTGAACCCAGGGCCTTGTATATGCCAGGCCACTGCTGAGTAACACCCTGGCCCACAAGCAAAGCATCTTTAACACTCCAGATGAATTAGTGATTTTTATTACTACTACTAAGAGCCTCTGTGGTTCTTCTCCTAGTTCCAGAACACACACGGTTCTTGCCTGGCCCCCATTCTGTGCTTTCTGGTCCCATTCCTAAGGATGCCTATTCCTAGCACTTGGATGCCACTCAAGACTCATCCATCCCTTACAGCAAATCAAATCTCACCTCCCCGGGAAGCCATTGCTTGGGGTGACTCTTTTTTTTTTTTTTTTTTAAATATTTATGTTTTAGTTTTCGGCCGACACAGCATCTTTGTTTGTATGTGGTGCTGAGGATCGAACCCGGGCCGCACGCATGCCAGGCGAGCGTGCTACCGCTTGAGCCACATCCCCAGCCCTGGGGTGACTCTTAATTCTCTTGAGTTTCTGTAGGACTTCTGGGTGACTTTGGAGGCACTGGTTAGTTAATGAGATACACATTTTTTGAACAATTATGCATACTTTTTGGAGTTGGAGTTTTTGAAGCCATGTGAAGCAAAATACCTGGTCTTTGGTCTAAGGCAAATTTAAGGTCACGGTTGTGACACATGCCAACACACGTGTGTGGGGTTGTACAGCTGGCACACCTGACGTGTTCTTTTTTACTTTCAGCCCTCAGCCAGGATGAATCATGGAAGCTACATGATGCAGGGAGCATGTGAGCTTTTCCCAAGGGAAAACGGAGGCAAGACAGCGTGGCCCAAAACATGGAGAACATTTCCACCTAACTGAACTGTGGGATACACAGAAAGGAGAAGGACAGAAGGCTGAGCAAGTTAGCTGGGGGCAGGGGGCATTATTCTGGAAAAGGCTTTAGCTGCCTATGAAATTGGGATTCTATTCAGGAGGTGATGGAGTGCTACTAAGGTCTAAGTAGTGCAGCTTTTATTAACCTGGCTGCTTTTATTTAAGTCATTGTCCTTCTGTATATGGGTGGGGCACGGTTCCACCCCTTCCCCAAATGTCACGAGCCACCTGTGAAACGTGCAAATTAAGATACAAATAAATTCATTACTTGTAAAAAAAAAAAAAAATGTGAACAGCCGAGATCAGCATGGAAGCCCACTGAGTAGGAGAGTCTGGTGTCTGAGAACTTGTACAGTGGCAAGCCTGCTGTAGGATGGCCCAAATACATGTGAACTCCCACCCAGCTCTGCCAAAGGTCTGGCATAGCACCTGAGATGGGTGTGGCCTGCCAAGATGCCAATCAACCTGTTGACTAGGAGACATCATGAAGCAAGACTCCACCCCTAAAACCTTATCCCTGCCTTTCACATACCCCCTTAAATAAACAACCAGAGCCATTTTTTTAGCTGTTCTCTTCCAGCTCCTGTGTGGACTGAAAGATCCTATCAGGCGCTCTGCTTTGAAAATCTATTCTCTGCCTCTTATTTCTTCACTAATTACTCCAGAATTTATTTTATCAGGTGGCTTATTCCCCCTTGAGCAGGAAACATTACCCTGGCGAGGTGCTGGCCTCCTTGAGACACCTCAAGATACTCAAATCCTCGGATGCTCAAGTCTCTTACTAAAAAGGGAGCAGCATTTGCATGGAGCCTAAGCAGATTCTGCCACATGCTTTAAATCATCTCTACGTTAATAAGCAATACAAGGTAAATGCCATATAAACAGTTGTGATGCTGTATTGTTTAGGGAATAATGACAAGGAAAAAAAGTGTGTACGTGTTCAGTAGAGAGGCAATCTCTTTCCATATTTCAACCCACAGTTGATTGAATCTATGGATGCAGAAACACACATTGGTCTGACACCACTGTGTAGGGGGAAGTTGTGGGGTAGGGAGACAAGTCAGAGCTTTTGACAACCAGTGTGCCTGAAGAGAGCCTCAGCCAGGATGGTGGGCAGGGGCAAGAAGAGGGACGTGAGAGAAGAGATGTTTGATGAGGCTACAACACAGGACAAGCTCGTGCAGAAGCCTGGGAGACTCAGAAGGGGACCTGAAGGAAAGCTGGCAATAGATGCTGAGGTGTATTTTAGATATCCTGCATTTGGGACCTAGGAGGAAAAAATCTGAACTGATGTCAAGCAAGCTGTCACATGTGGTACTGGAGCTTAGGGGAAGGACTTGGGCTCACCAGAGCTACATTTTGCTGAAGCTATGGACAGAGATAATTACTGAGGAACAGACCATAGTGACAAGGAAAGCATGGTGCCAAAGGCCCATGTTCCATATGCCAAAAAGAGAAAGCAGAGTCTTCGAGCACCCCCACCCAGTGAGTGGGAGGAACAGGTTCAGGCCAGTGGGTGGAGGGTCAGTCCTCTTTATCTACCACATGCTCCATAGGCCACAGAGCTGTTCCTACACATGTGGACCTCACAACAACCTAGCGAAAGGGCAGGGTTGGCATTTATCAGCCCCATTTCACAGATGGGGCAATGGAGGCTCCAAGGCAGAGGAGCTTGCCCAAGACCTCCCAGCTGGTTGGCAAAAGCCAGCACAAGCGTCTGATCTACACGAATCTGTCACCAGGACTGCTCCCTTTCCCAGTGTTTGCACCCAGGCTGGTCCACTGTGGCCAAGGTGAACAAGAGACCAGGCAAAGCTCTGAGGCTCAGCGTGGACATGGATAATGGTAAGGCTGGGGAGAGGAGGCAGACAGGAATGGGGCTCGTTCTGATGGCTGCCGAGACAGGGAGCAGCTCAGCCGGGGACGAGGATGTCAATTAGCAAGCAGTGGGGAGGACAGATGCAATGACTCACCAGACATCAGTGACAGCCAAAAAGAGGCAGATCTGAATCTGGAAATGGCAAAGGCCGCTCATCCCTGACCTGGCCTGGCTTCCTTCTTATGACATCACCACATTGGATACCTCCCAAGAAACCTGTAACGGAGGAAGAATTCTGACCTTTGCCACAAACGCAGCCAGCCAAAAAGGGCTCAAAGATGATGGAGACGAAGAGAAGACAGGAAGCTCGAAGCTGGCTGGGTTTCAGTGGTGCGAAGGGGCGAGTGTTTGATTCCTGGGGAATAGCAGCCCATCTGCGAGCCAGGCTGTGCTGCACGTGTGAAGACAGAAAGCAATCAACACCTCTGGTCGCCAGTGCCTCCAGCCCTGGGGAGCTGCCGCTTTACCATGAGTCCTGGCCCCCAGAAGCCTCCTAAAGCAAGTGGTACCCATGGTGGCCAGGGGCCTTCCCCTTTTATGTATCTGGGAAGGGTTAGAAAAAATTTTCCTAAAAATCTAAAGGAAAAATGGAACAAAATAAACCTCAAGCAATAATACACAAACAAGGTAACCTGAGTTCACAACACAGATGCCTTGAGCACAGGCAACCAAGCCCTGGCCAATGCTGGCTTCAAACAAGCCTCCTGACTCCTGCAACATCATCCAGCGACCTTGAAGGGGCACCTTTACACCTCTAGACTGAGGCCCAGGCATGACAGCAGCTCCTCTGAGCACAAGTGCTCTTCAGAACCAACCTTGCAAAAGAGGTTGGTGTGAACCCGGGTCCCAGTCCCAAGAACTTCCTTCCCCCATGTCCCTGTCATAAAATACTAAAGATCTGGATTCCCTTAAGAGAGGAGAACGGGGCTGGAGTACAGCTTGGTGGTAGAATGCTAGCCTGGCATGCACCAGGATCCAGGTTCAAGCTTTAGCCCACAATACAAAACAAAATGCTGGAAGCCAGACATCGCTGTACACAAAGAGCTTAAAATAAAAATACCCGTGAGTGATAAACCACATCTCTGTTCCTCCATCAGATGTCCTGGGTACCTCCCGTGAACATGGCCCTGTGCTATGTACTGAAGAAGGAGACGTGACTCAAACCCAGCTCCTACACCCAGGAAGGTCACATGTCATAATTAGTATCCCAAAGTGAAGAGTGTGACATGGAACAAAAGCTAGGATGGATGCACCTGGCCGAGCACATTAGATAAGTTCTGTGGTGGCAGGGGAGGGGGCCCAGAGGAAGACTGAGTTTGGCAGCAGATGCAGCACCAGCTAAGGATGGTCCGTAAGTGGCACGTGATTGGCATCAAGTCCTCTTCTGCTTTGACGGGGCTGGCTGGGATAATTCACGATCTGATTTGGGGCTGGAGCTATTTATCCAACAGCCCCACAGAGTTTGGAAGTCAAGCCGAGCAGTTTTCTGCACAGGCAGGGAGAACACAGTGGGTAATTAAGTCTTTTCTCCAGGCTAAATAATCTTAAAATATGGTATCTATTGAGACACCAAAAATGTGCAGTGGAATTTCCCCAGAGTGATGTGCCTGCCCCAAGGCCAAACATCTCCAGGCAAGCTTCTAAAAATTCATTAGTGAGAAGCAAGCAGGACCCTGGTGTTGCCCCAAAAATGAGGTCAAAAGAGAAAGCACTGGTTCTCTGCAAGCCAGTTTTGCAGTTGGCTAGTGGCCATCCCCACATCCAGATGCTGTCACTTAGATTTCACAAGTTCCCTTGGAGTTAATCACCACTTCATTTGATCCCTAAGGATCATGATGCAATTTCAAGACCTCAGATCTCTCTAAATGGGACTTGGGCCAGCCCCACTGAGATGGCCTCTGACCCCCTTCCACGAAAGGTGTATGGATCTTTTCATGCTCCAAGAGGAGCCAGTCTGTTGCCACCAAAAGAAAGCACGCTACTCAGGGTAAGTATAAAAATAAATAGACATCTATCAAAAATAATTAGAGGCAAGACTTCATATCCAAGTCCACTGCAATCATTATTCACAACAGCCCAGAGCTGGAAGCAACCCAAATGTCCATTAACGTGAATGGATAAAGACGAATGAATCAAGAAAGTGTGGTACATATAAACAGTGGAATATTCTTTAGCCTTAAAAAAGGAAATCCCGTCACCTGCTACAACCTGGATGAACCTTGGTGATATTATGCTATGCAAAATAAGCTAGTCACAAAAGGACAAATATTTTATGACCATTCATATGAGGGATGTAAAATAGTCAAAGTCGTTGAAAATTAAAAAAAAAAAAATAGAAAGGTTTTTATAAGGCTGGAGGTGGGGAGGGAAGGGGAATTCATGATCCATGGACAGAGAGTTCAGTTTTGCAAGATGAAAAACTTCTGGATATCTGCTTCACAATGATGTAAATATACTTAACATTACTGAACTCTATACTTAAAAATGGCTTAGTTGTCAGTGAAATAGTGCTCGTCACAGTAAAATAAATAAATAAATAATTGGACACATAGCACAGAAGGAAAAGCCTGGCAGAGACAGGACGGCAGGGAGCACCCAGTGATTGATCCTCAGCCCTCCTGGGTGAGGCCTAAACTTCCTTCTGTCTCATGAACACCTGGCCTTCTCTGTACCATCCTGGTTGCTCTGACTTCTCTGACGGCCTCAATGGCTCCTCTTCCTGTCCCCTAAAGATGGGCATCTCCAGTGCACACCTATCTTCAACCACGTCCCGCCCTCCCTCCTTCAGGAATCGCCTGCGTGCTGGGTTCCTAGCTCCCCTTCCGGGCTTGCCTCTTTCTGCTCTGCTTTCTGAGGTTCTTCTCATCACACTGGAACACAAAGCCAGGCAGGGATGGTGGAGGGGAGTGGGCCAAGGCACGGCCACTCTGAGCCTGCTCTGTGCTTCTATTCCACCCCGCATGTCCCTGACCTCCTTCTTGGCCACTGGGTTCCTCAGACCTCTTTAGAGCCCACCCCAACAATTCTGGTCCCCTGCTGTTCTGCCCTTGACATCTGGCCTCTCGGCATTACCACAGGTGTGGCTTGCTGGTTTCTTTCCTATTTCATCACCCGCCTTTGACGGGTGCCAAACTCCAGGTCCCAGCAATTCTGTTGAGCTATCTCTCAACCTTCATAGAGAACAGATCTCTGAGACACACGCAAAGCTTTGTTTTAGAAGCCACCTGGGTGGCAGGGTCAGTACCCCCTCATCATTTCAACACCTGCCCTCCCTCCGCACCCTGCCCCTGTGAAGCCTGAGAGCCACCCAGCTCTGCTGGCCCATGGCGCCTCACTTACGAAGTGGCCTCGCAGCTGGGTCGCAGCCTTCTGGAAATGTGGCATTATCCTCTTGCACATGCTGCACCCTGGTCACAGATGGGAGAAAAAGCAACCCTGGTTATTGCGGGGACTCTGAACTCTGCCCTCCTCCCCTCAGGCTGTCCTCTACCCCATGAAGTACAGCACTGTCCTGGGCCCTGGGAACGCAAAAGGAACAGGGGAAAGAGGCCTCAGGCCCTCAGAGAGCTTACAGTCTCAGTGGCACAAAACGGGCAGTGCCCAGAACGCCCTCCACGATGTCAGACTGAATAAGCAAATCTGCCATGAGTGGAGGGGAGCACAGCCGGGAGCACAGCTCCTGGTGGCTGGTGAGCACAAGAGGAATTCAGGGAACCAGGAGAGGTGTCCCGAAAGCAATCTCCTCCTGCACAGTGAAAAGCGGCCCCTCACCACGCAGCAAGGGACTATAAACATACTGGAGGCAGAAGCCACTAAGAAGGAAAAATCTTGTGACCATAAAATGACTTTTGGGATTTTCATGGCTCTTTTCCCTTCCATTAACAGGGATAATTAAGCAATGACCAGGGCAGGCCAAGCGTGAACAGCACTGGCTCCGGCCTGCAGGAAGAGCTCCAGGCTGACTCGGGACATGGAGCTAATCTTCCCTCGACTTGCTAAAGCCGTAACCAAGTCATCTCCTCTCTCTGGGCTGTTTCTTCTTGTGGCAAAAGATATTAGGCCAGATGACCTCAAGCCCCTCCCGGTTCTGACACCAGAGGATCATGTGACACTTTGGCTCAGCCCTCTCTGGGGTTTCTGTGGTCCACATGGATACCTTCCTCTCCGTGAGGTGGTAATGTCCCCAGTCTTGGGGGACTCCAGGTCAGGCTGGCCAGATCCCCAAGATCTGCTACGACCTCAGAAAGATCTTGATTTAAGCCCAAACATGGGACACTACATTTCTGCACTGACCGCAATGGACATGAAAAGCAGTTTTCTCAGCCACCAGGAATTCTGACATGCCAGGCTGTCATCCTTTCTGACAGCTGCTGTGCTGCAAAACAGGCTCTCAGACGCATCTGTAGGCCACAGAAACCAAAGCTGCCTGGGACCACCAATCAGGCTGGTTCTCACCTCCACTCGGCAGGGCTGGGCCAGGGCCCACGTGGCAGCAGCCTGAAAAACTCTAATCTATGTCCAGCTAGCACCCTGGCAGGCCGTGAACACAGTAATCCAGATCAGAGGGGTCTCCTGCCTTCGGGGCCAGGCACAGACACTACAGAACCAGGAGGAGGTGCAGTTCCTCCTGTACCACCTGAACCTTCCCAGCACCAAGTCTCCTGGGCAAGATGCAGGTACAGGAGATTCTGACACGAAACATCAAAATGCCCCACAGCCCCTCCCCACATTCCTGCCTGACAGGTTTGTAGGTACACACATACACACACACACCCCACGCACACAGGAAGTGGCTAGAGCCTGGCCCTTGGCATGAGTCACTGAGGCCCCTGAGAGGAGACACGTCGGCCTCCTACTTCATGGTGGAAAAACCCTTCAATAGGAGAAAAAGGATGCCACTCCACTCCCAGGAGGGAAACAAAGGGTGCACAAGCTGCCTTCCTCTCATTCTCGGCCTCTGTGCTCAGTGACTTGAGTGTGACACCCGCTGGGCCAATCATCCATCAGGAGTTAACTGCTCACCTGTCTCTACACTGTGGTCTCTCTTCCAGCTCTACCCAGTTGCAGCCTATAGCAACATTACCTTTTCTGTTCCCCAAACAGGTGATATGCCATCCAGCTGTCCCCAAGGGCAGAGGCCAGCAATTCTGGGTGAAGTTATTGGAAGGAAGAGGAGAGGAAAGAATAATATAGGAAGCTGCAGGCCAAGCCAGTTTCCAATTTAACTTTACCAAAAATAGAGCTGGTAGTATGATTCCTATCTGAGTTTATCTTTCAGTGGATTCAACTGGGAGACAGGGGAAAAGGTAAGACTAATTATCATTCTCAAAGCCCAAAAGTCAGAGCAGACAGCCCTTTTATTTTCTCATTAATTCAGTGAACAAACATTTACTGAATAAGCAGGTCCTGGGGACCCAGATTCCTTGTCACAATGAAAGACTCCTGCTGCCTCTGGGTTCATTCACTCCACATGCGATCAGAGGCTCTGAATCCTAACAGACATCCCAGGCTGGGAATTGCTTTGTATCCAGGAGTAAGCTAAATTATGAGGCTAGGCTGTGAAGGCTGGATTGGACTAGTGTAATAAAAGCACAAGTTTATTTCATTAAAAACACATATAACAAAAGAAGTCCCAGGGTCCCTGGGACCTTGGAGGCCATGCAATCTGATCCTCAACCAAAAGTTAACTTAGCAACTCAGTTTTCTCTCCCTCCCCCACCACTAATATGCTCTGTGACACTTAGAAGTTCCTAACTTCCCCCGCTCCAACTTTCTATTATATAAAGATAATCACTGTGCTCACATCTCTGCCATGATGAATAGGAGAGGCACACTGCAAGGCAGCCTGGAGAGGGGGTGGGGCCAGACAAGCATCAGATGCAAACTGCTAGTGAACCGTTACTTCAAAATGATTAATGTCACTCCACAAAAACCTGCATGGTTATGCCATAATCCTGCCTTGTGACATCCACTGCCTATGGACACACACCCTGATTTATTTCACCAACATGTTGAGTCCTGAAGGGTTCTAAGGTAAACCAAAGGAGGCCCCACCCCTCCAGGGTCTGTGGAGGCAGGGTGACCCTTGAAGTAATTCACAGCTGGGCAGTTAATAAGATCTCTCCAAGCCGGGCATGGTGGTGCATGCCTGTAATCCAAGAAACTTGGGAGGCTGAGGCAGGAGGATTATGGATTCAAATCCAGCCTCAGTGATTTAGTGAGGCCCTAAGCAACTCAGTGAGACCCTGTCTCTAATAAAATATAAAAAGGGGATGAAGGATATGGCCTGGTGGTTAAGCACCCCCTGGGGTTCAATCCCTGGTACCAAAAAAAAAATCCCTCTGAGGAGAAAACAAAGTAAAACCAACTAGTGAACATTAATAAGGAGAATGAGCCAAGGTTAAAGGCTTTCTGGGCAGAACAGGGTCTGCAGGTGAATGCCAAGGCCCCGTCACACGGGCAGGAACCCCCTTGGGCCTGGGAAAGTCTGGAGAGGAGGTCTGGGCTGGGGAGGGGCTGTTGTCACGACAAGCCAGGCAGTGTCACCGTAAACCCCATGGTGGAGCATCTAGACAGGGTTCTCACCACCATCACTGGCACAGAGGGGAAAACTCAGGGAAGAAGTCAGGCAGGAGGAACCGAGATGAGCTTCTGAGAGTCAACTGAAGGGCTGGGGATGCAGCTCAGTGACAGGGTGTTTGTATGTGAGGCTTGTATGTATGTATGGATTTGAGCTGCAGCATCACAAAAAAAGACAGAAAATGAAAAAATAAAATAAAATAAAAAGGGAGTGGTGGTGGTAAACAGAAGCCTGGTACCATAGCCTGTGCCATACACACGCAGGTATACCCACCTCCCTCCACCAGACACCCTCCTCTCTCTCCAGCCTTCAGGCAGACAGTGACACCTCTGGCTTCCTGAAGGGCATGTGAAGTCCCCAGAGTCTAAGTCCAAAGGGCCTTACCAGGCTTTTATTCAGATTTCACTCTGGGTTGGGACCCCTGGGACTGCAGGAATGGCCCTGCAGTTGAGAGCGTCTGTCACAACCACTCAATCTGCTGTTATTGCTCAAAAGCAGCCACACACACACACCACACACAAAAAAAAAAGTGACAATGTATAAGAAGGGCTGTGTTCAATAAACTTACTTACAAACATTGTGGCCAGCCATCGGCCACAGTTTGCTGATCCTTTATTATAGACTCATGATGCAGTAGGTATACCCAATAATTTTGTAATAAAACAGAAAAGAGTGTATACTACATCTGGTAGAGCAGCTGGCAAGTGTTAAGGGTAAGCAGTGGTAGTGCAGGTAGTAATCCTAATGGTTTGGTGAAACTTATTTACATATAACATTATATTTAACAGTACTGGGTTGCAATATAAAATAGTTTTAATTCTGTGAAATGCAGTCAAAAAGTTTGAAAGACACTGCTCTAACTCAACCCCTTCTCTTATAGATGTGGAAACTGAGACCCAGAGAGATGAAGAACTTGGCCAAGCTCATCCATCTGGCTGTTAGCATAGCTGGAATTAGATCTTGGGTCTTCTGGTTGTCATTTCAATGAACCTTCTGCCATTCCACACGGCTTATGGGCTCATGTAAAGATGAAGCCCAATTCTGGGGCCAATTTTCTCTCTGCTTTTGGTTCCCCCACCTCTCCCAAAAGGATGCAGGAGGCAGAGCTGAAGGAGTTACAGCCTCAGAGACAGGCCAGGCTCCAGATGGTAAGAAGCAGTGTCCCTGAGGGACAGCAGCATCACCGAGAGGAAGACTGAGGGCACATGGGTCTGTGGGTCTGTGGGGGGCAGAGGAGCGCAGGAAGGTGAAGCCAACTCCCCTGTTATGCCGGGCGGAGCTCTAGGTGAAGAGGACAGAAGGCTGCCAATTCTAGTGCAGACAGCACCAACGTGGACAGCAGGAGAAAGAGACAGTGAAAGGCCAAGAGAAAGGCAGAGGTGCAGGTGGACCAACAGACAAGAGAGACCAGGGCTGGCTCCCAGTTGCCCCCAGGAACCCCAGCCACCCGCCACACTCAGAGACTGAGAGACAGACTCTGGTCCAAAGAACAGTTCACTCACAGGGGGCATAAAACATCATGAGCAGAGGCTTCTCTTCCTTCTTCAGGAGTCGTCTGAAGTCCTGAGGCACAAAGAGAGACAACACTGGCAGGTCACATACAATGCCCAACAGGATGCCACCTCCCCCTGCCCCTGCCCAGCAGGAGGTCAACATCAGAAGTCACACCAACACAGCCTTAGCACATCAGGAGCTGGAAGAATCTCAGAGTGGATCTATTCTAGACCATTCTTACATATCATAGAGGGGGAAACTGAGTCCCTAAGGAGACTCGAGGGCCACTGGTGCAGAAGCAGGCTACTGGCTTTACTTTTGGCTCCATCTGAACAATAAAAGATGGTAAGGAGTTATTTTTGTCCCAAGTCTGTTGAAAAGGTGGCCCCTTCATGTGACTTTGGGAGTGGTTTTTGTGGTAGCGAAGGTAGCTGTTTTCTTGTTTGTCCCACTTGGCCAGATGAGGATCTGCTGGCTGTGGTCACAGGGTCAACCCAATCTCTTCCCCAGCTCCACCTGTGTTCCACTGAACTCACAGTGTGTGTGTGTGTGGGGGGGGGGGGGGACGTAAGGATGAGGCCTGCCCCACCCTCCATGAGGTTACAGCCTAAAGGCTTCATTCTTATTTGCAAAATCCTTAGATCAGAGCTTGGCACATTATTAAGCAATATATAATGATTTGTTAAATAAACACAATAAATGTAAAAAGACAAATGGTCACAACAATGCTAATGGGAAGACATAAGTGTCAGCAGGATAGAGGCTGTTCTTCCAACAAGAGCCAAAGATGGATGAGAAAAAGCGGGTCCATCAAGGGCGGAGAAGCAAGGAGACATGGCATTATTTTGATGAAAATGAGCTCCTCTAACCAGTTTTCACTAAAGAAAATTAGAGGTTTTCTTCTTCTGAATAATAAGAAAAATAAGAGAAAAACTCAAAATGCAGCTTCTGGCAGCAACAAGGCATTAGGTAAATAAATGATGGCACACTCCACACAATGGAACACCACCACAGCATTACGAAGGGCGATGAGAAACACTTAAAGCCATGATAAGATGTGCATGTTACATTAAGCAGGGAGGGGGAGCCAGTTACAAAACGGCACTAAAATGTACCGACACTTTTGTGAGTAAAAATATTTATGTATGCATTACATTAAAAGCCTGGAAGGCTTACAAAACATATCAGCAGTGGAAATCTCTCAATGAAAAGGTATGGGATGATTTGTGGGTTTTTAAGGGTTACGTTATATTTCCCTATTTTCAACAACAAATGTGTGTTACTTAAAAATTTGCTGATAGATTAAAAAAAAAAAAAGATTGCAATTTTTTGGTGAGGTTCTCAATAAATCCTGAAAAAGCTTATTCTTATTTACATAACTAGAGGATTTAGACTGGTTCTCAAGCAGGATTAGTGACCAAGTGACTACCAAAACAACCAGAAAGGGTCTCTAAATGATCATGCTGTTTATTTGGAAGTATACAGGGAGCACGGGAAGATTGAACAGGCCAGCATGGTGGCCAGGGGCAAGTGAAAAGGGGATGGGATAAAGGGGAATTTTTAAGGGTAAAATGAAGAGGATGACATAAGTTATTTTGAAATAATATCCTTGGCCACAAAGATCAATAACAAGGGTGCCATCAGTCCAAGGGTTGACCAGTCACTGGGTAGATGTCTATGCAGAAGTATTACAGGTATAAAGCTGCAGGACCTTGTGCAAGGATGTGGTTCTGATGGAATCTTTTGCACCAGTTCCTGTTGTCAGGCATAAATGCATATAAGAACCTCTCCTTCCTAACTTCACGGCTTTATTTATTTTATTATTATTTTGTTGTTGTTAGGGCTTCACATGTATGACTCCATTTTGATTCTGACAAATTTCACACGATATATTTGACCCTAACTAGGGATGACAGATACAAACACTTTAAAAATTACCTCTGGGATCTCTGGAGAGAAAACCCGGTAAAAGATGTGAGAAGAAAAGGTTTTATTGAGCCTGCAGCAATTTGGTTTCATATATTGAGAAGTAATAAATATTACATGCAAAGGATGCTTAATTGCTTTCACCAAGTATAGAATTCTAAGCCTACAAATTCAATCAGTAATTCAAACCTGAAATTGAACTTATAGTTATTTTATGTGGGGATTCTAGAAGCAGAAAAACAGCTACACCTTGCATTTCTGCATGAGAGAAAAGAGCACAAAGAATATCAACAAGATTACTGACAGGGGTGAAGAAAATACTTCTGCTTAATATTCCTGCAGCTATGGAAGAACAATCTTAGGAAGTTCAGGACATGACATTTGTGATAGGAAGGTGCCAAGCAATTGCTTTCCAGAGAAGCTAAAAATATTTATCATCTCAGGAGCAACAATCAGTTTGGGCACTTTGTTTTTTCCTATTCTGGGTACCATGCCACCCTCTTCTGACACTTGCCCCACTCCCCTCTCACATATGCCATGTCTTAAAAAGACTACTTTCTAGCTGGCCTATACTGGCCCTTCTATCCCAGGGAATGTTGATGCCCAGCCCCTTAAACCAAATCACCACAAACTGACCTCTTTGGGTTGCCCACAAGATCATGTGACCCTCCTCTGGAAAGTAAGGTACCATTTCCTTTTGTGGTAGGGAGTGTTAAGAGCAGAGTCGGGGTTGTGGCTCAGTGGTAGAGTGCTTGTCCAGCTAGTGTGAGGCTTTGGGTTCGATCCTCAACACCACATAAAAATAAATAAACAAAATGAAGGTATTGTGTCCAACTACTTCTAAAAAATAAATATTTGAAAAAAGAAAAAGAGAGAGAGTAGAGTGGACCTTACTCCCAGCTCCTCAGGAGGCTAAGGCAGAAGGATCGCTGGAGCCCACAAGTTTGAAGGCAGCCTGAGTAGCACAGCAAGACCCCGTTCTCAAAAAAATGAATAAATAAAGACTGTGAGTTCTAAATCTCCATGTTATATGACATTGGATAGTTGGTATAATTCACCTCCAAAACTTTGGGCCAAAATAAATATTTCCTTCTTAAAAAAAAAAAAAAACAAAACTCAATAATTTTAAGTGAAAAGGGAGATAAGGCAGAATAAGATTAAAGTTATGTTTTATTTTACCACAATAAGAACAAGCATTCTCTCTCCATCTACATGATGCCGCACAGACCACGTGAAACTTAACAGAGAGGTCCTTGCCCAGCCCCATGGGAAGGCACAGCTAAGCCAACAGGGCACTGATACAAAAAGGTGAGTGTGGATAGGATGCACACTCAGGCCAGGGGAGGGGCAGCCTGGAGCTAGGGCAGCTGGACCTCAGCTAGGAAAGGAGGCAGACTGTAAGCTAGGCCTGCCCTTCTAGCCCTCAAAGAATCAGTTCTGGAAACTGAAGTTTAAGAGGATAAATAACGTGTTCAAAGTTACATGATGACTCAGAACTGTAGAGACCTGACCCATGTCTTTGGTAATTCAACCTAAATCAGATTATTTATTCTCATATTATTCTTTAAAAGAGAAAAACAATCCACTTTAAAAAACAAGTCAAAAAAATGCAAAACCAAGCCCAGCAACATCTAGATGATATAACAAGAGGATATGTATTCATTCATTTAATTATTTTTATGAGCTGTTAACAATCAGACCCTGAGCCTCCCAGGCTAGGCAAGCACTCTATCACTCAGCTACACACCCATTAGGGGGATATTTGAAATAATATTCTTGAAAAGAAAATAAAACATGTTAAAATAAATTAAATAAGGTGTTGAAAGATGGAGAAAGTGCTCAGGCAGTCAACCTGTAACTTGTTGATTATATCACAAAGCTGAGAAGGGGAATCGAACATTAGGGTCCTGGTCCAGTTCCCCTTTCTCAGCTCCTCGGCTCAGCTCCTTTGGAGGCCAGGTACCGGGGAAACTGCACCAAATCAGAACTGAAGCAGAATAGATTACCTTTTCACTATCAATGTGAACAACATCTTTGGCTCCAGGATCTTCCTCCCACAGTGGAGGCCCTTTTGGATCCTTCAGAAAGGCCACTATGGACTGAGGAGAACAAAGAGAAAAAAATGTGTTTTAGCCAGGAAAAGAGGGAGGTGGGGAAATAGGGAACTGCCCTGTTTCCCTGCCTGGAGTCCCAGGTACATGCAGTGCAGAGCTTGGGACTGTATGTGGCATATGCATGAAGGGTGAGCTATTTCCTTTGTCTGCTGACATCATTGCTAAGTACCCCCAAATGCTAAGTGCCCCTAAGCACCTCCATCACTCCCACCAGGCATTGTCAAGCACATGACACCTTCCTGTTCAGCTGATCCATACTTAATTATGCATTTTCATGGAAAAAAAATAGAAATTTCAGACAATGAGCCAACTTATTCAAACCAGAGACACACTAGTGTTTCTACTAAATCTTACCTCCTTCAAGAAGCCTTTCCAATTAACTGAATAAAGGTCTCTAGCCTTGTCCCAAGTAGATACTTCTGCATTTCTGCAGTCACTTAAACCATCAATCCCATAAGCAAATAAACACATTTACTTATTACCTGCTTGCTATTTCTAAATTGGTTGTGGAATAGGTTGGATCCTGACTATCCTCTGCTGAGTCGATCAATGGTCCCAGCCTGGGAAGCCCTCAGGGCAGGGTGCTTAACAATATGGCCAGAAGCCCTGCTATATTTCTCTCCCTGCAGACCCTCCTTCTAGACCAATGGGAATAAGGCTAAATAGCTTAGCTGGCCTTTGACATGTGGACCACTGACCCCGATCTCCCCTCCTTCTGGGGAAGGTATCTGAGGGGCAGAGAAGAGGAGCACTGTCCTCCTGCTGCCCTCCCCGCCCCACCTGCAGCGCTTTGCTGGTGTGGACAGATGTGGCATTCTCTTTCCCTTCAGACGGTCACTCTGGGAAATGACTCTCAGTCTATGAGAACCAGGAAAGATCTGCCAGAGACCAGTCACACCTCCACCCTTCCCACCCTGGAGAGAGTTGCTGGCTTGTGTCAACACCCCAGGCTCTCCGAGTCCACAGTTTGATAAAGGAAAACCCTGTTACTTCAGTCAACTTTGAACAAGCTCCAATGAGCAGATAGATGTTAAACCAGGGTGTGTGTGTGGAGGGGGTGGGGTGCTAGGGTCTGTGTGCACATGCACATGTGTTTTGGGAGGGAGGGGTCTGAGGTGAGAAAACACCCCTTTAATGAGATGCATTCAGCCCATCTGCTGGTCACACATAAAGAGGACCTCGGCAAGGCTTACCATTTCTGCAACCTCCGATGCGGAAAGAACTACTAGGGGAGAATGGGAGACTGCCAAGCCTCTGTAGGGTCTCATTCAGGTAGCACTTCTGAATGAAGTGCTGTTCAAATGAAAACTGTGAAGTACTTCCTGGCAAGGGAAGAACAGCCATTTCTGCCACAGTAAAAGGCAGATCTGTCCTTTCACAGTCCCTTGTCAATGCTTCACCGTGACAAAATGAGCCAAAGTGGAACTGGCAGCACCTTCCTGAAGCCCACACTCACCCACAGCTGCATAGGTGCCTGCCCACGTGGCATGTGAGGAAGATGCTAGTGGGTGCCCACCAGCCTGCTGTTCCAGAAATACCTGGTGTAGGTGTCCTCAATCTAGGGTGCACTATGGACGTCAGGAGTGTGGAAAGCCCCAACTCACCAAGCTCAGCTATGCACTATATGCACAGAATTTCTGTGCATATAGAGCAATGATTGTCAGTGTGCAATGACTGTCAGTGGGATCAGGAACCTATAATGGGTTGGGAGCTGCTCTGGGGGACTCCTGTCCCCACACCCTGCATGAGCTAAGCTTATGTTAGCACAACTTCCTCACCCCACCCCTTCCTCATGAAGAAACAGAGACAATGTCAATGGAAAAAGAAATGGCCTCTTTTAATATAACAACTGCAATAGTCACATTTGTGACCTTCTGGTTTTCAGGGGAGATTATTTCCATTTAACAGAAGTGAACAATCCCATCCACAGGTTCTCTCCCGCTGGTTTACCTGAATGAGATCCTGGTGGAAAGATCTGCAAGGAGCAGCACCAGGGAGTCCACCCTAGGTGCTCAGAATCTCTGGGAAATTGTCCAAAAGCTGCACTTGGCCTTCAGGACATATTCATGGCTGAGGGCATAGTTCAGAACTATAACACCTTTGGAGAAGGTCATCAGAGGGTCATCTGAATCTAGGCTCCCAGGCATCTCAGGTCCTTACCACTTACATATAAGGACCTCGGTCGATACAAGCCGACAAGCAGAAGTTCCTTTTTTGAGTTTCTTGCTATTTGCAAGTGGGAAGATGTAATATGCCCTCATTTATATGGCCTCTGACTTCCTTAGGGGTCACAGCACAGTTCCTCTGACAGGCCCGGGCCCAACCATGCGGATGACAACAATAACAGCCAGAGCATAAGCCTGCAGGCTGTGTGCCACCCTCTCCAGAGGTCCTCCATCTTTCTAGATCAGGGTCCCAGGAATACCCTGAAAGGAAAGCTAATCAGTGACCAAGGCAGGCTTTGATCTCAGCTGCTCAAGCAGAAGAGGCAGAAGTGGTCAGGTAGTCACAGAGAACTTTATGTCACTGTCCCTACACCCTGGAGAACTCTAGGGACTCTGTCCCAGTCCCTCTCAGCCATATGGACTTTAGGATCCTGGGACTATGGGTGCCCACTATGTCAGAAATCAAAGACTTTGACCCTGTACAAGGCTCAGCCCACTGTTCCAGCTCACTGATGCAGAAATCAAGAGGATGGGTGAGGAAGCTACTCCCCCCACAGGAATGGAACAAAGGCCAAGACTCTGTCCCCTCCATCACTCAGTGGCAAATTGGGACCCCTTAGGCTTCTTGCTACATTCATGATATATAGTTCTGAATGGCCACTACTCCCTGATCTATGATCCCAGGGCAGATTCCTCAGAGGCCCACCTGATTACAAAACAACAAGCCAGCTTCTCTTTTCAATGCATAAGCAATTCCCCCTCCCACCCCGGGGGAGCATGACTTCTCTCCAAGGACTGATAGCAATCAGCCCCTACAGAGGGTGAAAGCCACACAGTAACCTAACCAAAAGGACAAATTGTGAGCAGATAAACAAGAAGCAACTTGAAGGGTCAGGGGTGGGAGACAGAGGGAGAGAGGGAAGGACAGCTACACAGACAGACAGACAGACAGGAAAGGATGGAAGGAGGCAGATGGAGAAAGGGAGATGACAGCCTGACAGGGTCCAACCCAGTCTGAGATTCAGGAGAGTTAGAGAAACTGAGCTTAGCCCAGGCTGGTGCCAGAGGAAACGCAAGGCCCAGGCAAGGCAGGGGAGCAGCATCCGGATCAGAAATGAAAGGAGACAGGACTGAGGAAGAAGATGCCGGAGCTGAAGGAGAAGGGCTGAGGGCTGGGCAGCCACTCTACATTAAGGGGACGGCACCTGTACATTAAGGATCTCATTTATTTTCATCTATGCTTTTCCATCTACATTTAGATTGGACTGGTAGCAGAGAACACTTCAGTGACATCCAAATCTCATCTGGAACAAGCCATATCAGCCCAAAGTTACCATCAGCTCAAGTTACCTAATGCCAAGTTATCCATGCTAACCTGGGCACACCACACGACCCCTTTGGCAATGGGTGTCCACTATGGGCACCACCACAGAGACGGGGAGATGGCTTTGAAGTCACAAAGTCCTGAGGAGCGGAGAGGCATGACATCACACCTGCCTCACCCGAAAACTCCTAGAAGTTTGTCAACCTCTCTGCGAGGCTGGGTTTTCCCCTTGTGTTAACAATTACAAACTTTTCCAGAAATTCTGTTCACACGGGATCTAGAGATGAGGATCCTCAGGTCTTTCGGAAGAGCCATTGTGCAATCTGCCCTTCCTTCTCTCACAGGGAAACCGCCAGACTCTGGGCATCCATTCAGGCTCTACCCCTGCTGAGAGCGAGGCAAGTGAATTTACCTTAAATGTCACAGCTCGGTTATATTCAGTATGAAATGCACCATCCCTGTCAAATGAGAAAAAGGTGTTAACTTTAAGGATGGTTGTAAAGATGCATACCTTTGGTTTTCTAAAGCATCTTAATAAGACTCAGCTACGGAACACAGTTCAGGATTTTTTTCTTTTAAGAAATAAATATAAACACAGGGAAAAAATCATTCTGCAATAAAATTAATCTAACTAAAAATTGCTGTTCTCTGTGAATACCAATGAAAGCTTTCAGCAGTTACTTGGAAATTGGAATTGTCTCCCATGTACTTACTGGTAATGGAATAATTCAACCTTTTTGTCCTTCGGGCTGAGGTCAACTTTCATCTTCTTGCACAATTTTCTGCTCTCTGTGTCACTGAAAGACACAAATGTCGGGAACCATTTGTTACCTGAAGTCTTCACTTAGGTGCTGACAGCAAAATCTGCTGGTGGCCTTAGAAATAAGCCTGGTAACCTGGAATTCTCAGTAGTAGATGAGAAGTCAAAAGTGGGTTCTTAGAGAGTTAGGGAAAGAACACCCATCAGGATGCAGTCTGATCAAGAGAGACGGGGACAAGCAGACAGGAGTATCACTTCTCCTAAGTGGCCACACGAATGGGTCCAGACAGAGAAAGTGTCTGGAAGCTGAGCAGGTAGATGGCACACTGTGGTAAGAAAAGTAATCCATTCCTAAGCCAGCTCTGGTGGCAGGCACGTGTAGTGCCAGCTACTTGAGGCAGAAGGATCCCTTAAGTCATACTGGGGAACATAGTAAGACCCTGCCTCAAGAAAAGGAGAGAGAAAGAGAGAAGGAGAAGGAGAAGAAGAGGAGCAGCATCAAGAGCAGCAGCAGCAGGCAGAAGAGGAGGGAAGAAAAAACAGAAAGAAAACCCCATTCCGGGTTGCTTATAAGATTCACCTGGAAGAATGGGAATAGCTAGGATGGTGGAAGGAGACGATCATCGTTATACAAAATTCATGTATGAAGATGTAAATTTGGTGTCGACATACCTTATATGCAAACAGAGATTTGATAAATTGTGGTATAAAGGTGTATTAAGAATTGTAATGCAAAAAAATCATGAATGTAAAGCACTCCTCTATTGTGATGTATATAAGAAATAAAAACAAAAACACACAACCAAAAAAAAAAAAGATTCACCTGGGAAACTTTAAACCATACTAATTCCTGATCCTCCCAGACCGTTACTTCAGGATTGGTGGGGTTGAGGCCCAAGCAAGATTTTGTTTTCAAAGTTCTAACGTGTGTCATCTGTTACAGACTATCTGACCCATAAAAGAGGAAAATTCCCTACTTTATTGAAGAACTGATGAATTTGATCAGATACTGACAAAAGCCAGAGGAGGAAGGGGAGCATTGGTGAAAGGAGCCCCTTCCTTGGCCTCTGAGACATTACACTTCCAATTCTTCTAACCAGAAATGTCTATCAGTGGTTGCTCATGGTTTACAGAGTGCTCATGCATGACCTCATTTAATCTTGGTCCTTTCTGCTAGACAAACGGACCTCCAAGTATGGTCCCTGGACCAGCATCACTCATTAGAAATGCAAAATCTCAGCCCCATCCCAAACCACTGAATCAAAAACTCTCGGGGTATTCGAGCAACTGTTTTAATAAGCCTTCCAGGCAATCATGATGCATGCTCAAGTTTGGGAACCACTGTGTGAGACTACTGTCTGGCAGTGGCTCTTTCTCCTCGTCCCCACCTCCCTACATCAGCCCCTCAGAGCCGGACCTGCTCTCACCATCCTCTCTGCATTCAGCCAAGCTCCCCATCAGCCCGCCTAAGACAGCCCATCAGGGTGCATGTGCAGAGACCTGCTTGCTATGTCAGGCCATTTCTCCAGATCTGGACGGACATGGTGAGAGCATCTAGGTCATTTAATACCCACTAGATACCAATGACCACTCTCTTCTACCAAGTACACAGCCACCTGCAGGAAGTCCCTTCTTTCCTCACCTGTTTACATACCTTTCTCCCTCTATAGCCATCAGCTTCGCGCAGCTGTGCACGAGCCTCAGAACAGATGGACTCATTAAATCACTCAGCTCAATTGTAACAGCAACACTCATCGATGGACAAGCAAAATTGCAGGACATCAATGTAAGTGTAAAGATGTAATTTGCAAGTCAAGAAGAGTATCTCCATAGACAGAACGTGTGGGTCAGGGGAGATGTGCCCCTACCCACCCAGGGCCCGGGCTTCCCTCCCCACTAGCCCAGCTGTCTAGCCACCTCTGCGGCCATGATGGCTTCCAGCTGCGGACATGCAAACAGTGGGAACTCAAGAAATGCATAATGCATTGAAGGGAAGAAAGGGTAATGACATCGCAATGGCTCCTCCCTAATGTAGCGAAGATCTTATGAGAGTCAGCAAGAAGAGATAAGCTGCAGGTGAGGAGGAGAGTGGGGGATGGGGTGGGGATGGTACACAGTAGAAGGAAGGCCCCAGCATCAGGTCGATGAATACTTTCTCATCCTAAAGCCCTATGAGGACTCCACACATGCCTCTTCCAACACGAGCTATTTTGGTTTGGGTTTGTCTGTCCTCCAGGGCTCCAGACTCTGTTGTAAAGCTACGCTAATAAGTGGCAGGTTTGTTTGAGAGCAACCCAAAGCAAATCTGGTGCCCTTCCCCTGCCTGAGTTAACTCTATTTGGGATACTCATAACCACTGGCCTGCACCCTCCTTCTCAGGCTTTGTTGTCCTGTGCTCAACTGTTCCTGTGACCACCAACCATACACTCAGTTGCAACAACAGACAGCACCTGGGGCAAGAACCAAGCCCCAGCCCCAGCCCCAGCCTGGCAGCCAGCAGGAGCACAGCAGGGGCCTGTGACCCTCACAAGGCAGAGGGAAGGATGACAGGGCTCAGGTCATTCCTACCCCAAATCTCTGCCCATCTGCCAAAACCTGTACCACGGAAAAGTCCTGATGCTGCAACCTCAGATCCCCTGCAGGCCCAGAACATGCTTAAGAACAAGGCTCCAAATTAACCATGTGGCTGGTGGAGCTGGGGGCACAGAGGCACCCTGGTCAGTATGGCCCGAGGTCTGGCCCAGACTGCAGCAACAGGCCTTCATTACAGTTAAGTTAATCACCCATCTGTGCCCCAGGATTCCTTGTGGCAGACTCTATACACCCTCTTCCTTAGGCTATGTGACACTCCCAAGAATTCTCTCCCCTTCTCTACCCTCTGAACACACACTCCTTCTGTCAGAGGGGTAGGTAAGGAGGTGGCCTCCTGTCCTGACAGTACACATCTGACACAGACCTGAGAGCTTCAGCCACCCACTGGATCCAGCATGCCCACCTTCCCTTCCCCTGCACTGCATTTTCAACATCTGATTGCCTGTCCACTGACTGTCCCCATTCCACACGTTAGCTCCCTGAAGGCAAAGGATGGGTTTTGTTCACACCTCCTTCCCCAAGGTCACTCTGGCACCTGGCACACAATAGGCACTATAAATAAGCTCACTGTGGGGGAAGGGGTGGTGGAGCAGAATCAATGATGTCTTGGAGCTGCTGGGCTGAGGTCCTGCACATCAGGCTTTCTGGGCTGTGTGCTGGGCCCCAGGAATCCTGCCAGGTGACAATTCCTAATGGGGTACTCTCAGCCCTGCTCCCCTCCGCCTAATCCTGTCTCTTAGAGTGTCTAAGTGTGCACGTGAACATGTACTAATTGTGCAGCACAGACAATAAAATTCGTAAGAGTTCAAGAAGGGGAGAAAATTACCCAAGCTCCGGGACTTAAAAGGATCTGGGTTGATAGATTAAGTACAATTAATTGATCTACTGCCTCCCTTCTTCCCTGCCTCCGCCAGCCTGTGGCTGAGACTCTAGGGGGAAAAGGAGACAAAGGCAGACAGCAGGGAAATGAGCTGCTTTGCCCGAGTCATGGAGTGACCCTGGTCCTTGGCCCCTGTCCTGCAGGAACCAGCCATCAGTCTGCCCACTCACTCACCTACTGTTCCAGGGAGCAAGACATCAAGGTCACTGATCTGCTATAACCCATCCCTCCCCCACTCACTTGGATCTTCTCTGAGGAAAATGAGGAAGGAAAGATGAGAGCTCTGTCCACACCTCTCCCGCTCGGTACATTAGCACAGCATTGTCATATGGAGCTGCTGCAGGTGGCTGGCTGATAGTCTGGGTGGCTGCTGCAGGTGTGTGATGCTGTGCTGATTTGATCTTCACGTGTGATGATAATTATCCAAGAGCCTGGTGACATACACTTCTAGGAGTCAGACCCGGAGATGACAGGTGGGGGTGAGAGGAAGAAGAAAGAGAACAAGGTGCTGGAGGCTAAGAAGAGGAGGTATTAGGTCTCCTCTGAGTTGCAGCCTAAGTCCCAAAAACTTCCCTGAAGGGAAGCCAGCTGTAATGGTGGCTTCTAGATCTGACTCTGTCACCTTGGAGGAGGCTCTTGATTTCTTGAATTGCAAAACCCAGGCATTGTCCATGTGAGCTGAATGGAGCTTCTGATCCCTCTACCAGGTCAACTAACACTACAGGATCAAGACAAGCTGCCTTACATTCTGACACATGAACGAGGAGCCAGGACCCAGGACAGAATATAGAGACTCAAAAAAAAAAAAAAAAAAAAAAAATCAGAACTCCTGTTATCTCTCTCCTCGCCCCACTGGATCCTCCCTCCACTGTGGTCTGCATTTTTACGTCCACAGCATAGCATACCACGTTCAGTCTCCTGATGGGATAGAAAAGCAAGGTTGAAGGGCTGGGGATGTGGCTCAAGCGGTAATGTCTGTCTGTCTGTCTGTCTGTCTGTCTCTCTCTCTCTCTCTCTTCTCCTCTAAAAAAAAGAACTAGAATTAAAAAAAAAAGAAAAGAAAAGCAAGGTTGAAAACCAGTGGGCAAGGCCTGCAGTTGTCTGGCATGAACTCTGCTTTTAGCTACCTCGGCTTCCCTGAGTTCCATTTCCCCATCAGTCAAAGAAGGGTAAATCTTTTCCTTCCATCTGCCATGGCAGGATTCCAAGCAGATGGACCTGTGATCCCCTTGAGATGAGGAGAAGATAAAATGTGGGTAGCACCTCACTTCAGAGACAGGAAGGGCACAGGGTTAAAGCAGAGAGCAGCAGATACTGAGAGTGACTGCTTGGAGCCAAGCAGCCAGGACAATAGGAAGGAATGTGGCTGGGGAGTAGGAGGCAGGGACAGTGAGAGAACAGTCCTGGAACAGCTGGACCTTGAACTTGGACAGACTGCAGTGCCACACAGCACTCTTTGAAGGGGCTCAATAACAGCAACCCTCTCCGACTGGCTGTTCTCCTTGGTACCTACCTCGGCCAGGTAGGTAATACAGCATGAGGGAGGCCCTGCAGTCAGTAAGTGATGGCGAGGAAAGAGAAGGGCGAGGCTTCAACTCCACAGACGCCCCTCCCCACCTGCCTGCTCAGGCCAGTGATTCTGACGCTCTGCTTCTTAGAAGGGACATGTCACCCTAAGTGCATGTCCAAGTGCCAGAAGGAATTTGAAGTCACAATCTGGCACTTCTGGGAGTCTATTTTATGGTTTTTTCCCAGGGTAAATGATGTTTGTCATGCTTGTATATAAAGGGACAAAGGCTAAACACAAATAATTTTCAGAAGAAAATGTAAGACTTCAAAATAATGTTACACCTGCCTTGGCAGGCCTCTCATCTTGCATCGGGGGAGTCAACACTCTTTCAGGGAAACCAAGCAGATGGGAGGAGAGCAAGGTAGAACGAAAATGTGGTTAGGCTATGATCTTAAACTCCTAGGGAAAGAAAGCGGCATGCACCCGACGGGACAGTCTCACCCAGCAGGGCAGCCTCAGGAACCAGCGCACCAGGCTCAGCGACAGCAGCTGGCTTCAGCTCAACTTCCTGAGAGCAGCACCACACACCAAGGCCCAGCCCCAGGCTGGCAAGGCACAAGGGATGACCAACTCCCTCACGCACAACCCACGTAGCTGCACAACTACCACCAGTCCAACCAAGCCTGGCTGCGGAGGTCAGGGCTGGGAGGTAGAGGGAGGGGGAAGGAGAGCTGTCACACCCTTGGACAGAAGCCATGCTCTCTGCTGACATCTCACAGCACAAGTGACAACGCCTGGGATCAGGGAGAAACCAAACAGAAGGGCACGCGTGTGACTGCAGGTGCATAAGCGGAAGAGCAAGGAAAGAGCCAGAAGAACCAGAAAAAGGGGGAAAAGAGAGCTCCCCACTGAGGAGAAAAGAGGCCAAAAGAATGGGAGAAGTAGGGACCCAGCCCCTCTCTGGGAAGAAACATCAGAAACTTAGTAAGAGGAGAGGAAAACAGGGGTGGGGACAGAAGATAGCACCTCAGGGAGAAGGAGAGGGGTCACGCACAACAGGGAGAGACACAAAAAAAGACCCCCAGGCAGACACTGGAAGCACATGCCCCTGCATACTTGCACATGCACATCAAGCCTGGCAGCTTCTGGCATTTCCTGAACCAGGCTAATTTAGGGAGGAGAGCAACTTGGAAGAATCTACTCCACATTTCACGGAAGATTAAGCTGAAGCCCAGAGAAAGGTGGTGATTTGCCAAAGGTCCTGCAGCTATTTGTGAACAACCTAGACTTAGAGCCAGGATTCCTGTCCTACAAATTCTGCTATACCCCATACTTCATAAGCGGCACAGCAAACACCCCACAGGCTGTGGCTGACTCCCATGCCCAATACCTTCTTGGGCACACTCCACAGAACCAAGCAACTTCACTCAACAAGAAGTTGCTCAACAAATAAAATGTGCTGTCCCATCCAGCTTCTTTCTGATCGATTTTGCCCGGATGAAAACTAACAATAGCAGAATGGCATTTCCCATTTAAACTGCTTCCTAGTCTAGAACATTTACTTACCTGTTCCTTACCACAGACCTGGAAAGAAGACAGATATGTAGCATTGTCACATCCGAGGACAGACTCGGGTTAACTGACTCACTCAAAGTCACAAGACTAGTAAGAAGAGGGGCTGGCCCCGCAACCAGGCTTCCTCCTATTCGAAGGCTGTGCCTTTTATCCCATACACCTGCAAAGACACCTCAACACCACAGCAGCCTCTTCTTTTACCCAGAGGTTCCCTGATCCTCTCACCTGCCCTTCACCTGCTCATTCCTGATATTCCTGGTCACCCCTATCCCAAGCCCTGGCATCCCCAATCTAGCTACCAAGCCTTTGCTGGCAGGGCAGGAGGTGGCAGAGTTGGAGAGGATGACATGGGAACCTCAGCAGGGCCCACTGGAGAGGAGGCGCACTCTGGCTGACCATCTGTTGCTTAAAGGAAACGGGCTAAAGAGAGCAGCGCTGGCTCTGCGCCATCCCTCCCTCCTCTGCAGACAGCAGCAGAAAGCACTCCCAACACCACGTCTGCCCATCCTGGGAACGTCTCATTCACACACTCACAGACACAGACGGAATGCACGTGGGACCACAGTGGTAACTGGCAACCTAGAGCCCCGCCAAGTTAACATGGGAGGCTCCCCTGAGGATTTATAGGGCAAGTTTAGAAGTCTGGAGCAGGAGTGGCTAAACAGAAGGGCAGAAGCCAACTCAGGCCTTTGGGATCTCCTTGTCTCACAACAGTCCCTGAGACCTGCCACCCAAAGTGACCCGCAGGAACCAGAGCTGTCCCTTGAGTTGCTTGGGTATATTCAGGTGTACTTTGACTCTAATTTCAAAGTCAGATCCAGATATTCCGGCTCCCAACATGATCCATGTAAGTGCCATAATCCACCTACTTATCTACACTAGTTTAATGCTATTTAACATTTCGGTGTGTACTTCCTCTCATGGAGACAAATTGAATAAACTGAGAAGCAACTATGTGGAACATTCTATCCTTTTCTATACGGTGCCTCTTTTAAGCTCTCACATCAGATTCGCAGGATTTTCTCACTGGCATTTTTACTGGCCCTAGACATCAGGACTCCAAACTTTAGTCCTGAGCTCTGATCCTCCACATCATCTTCACGTTCTGGCCCTGACCCCATCATTTAGTTGGATGTTCTTCAGCCCATTTAGGGACCACAGCAGGCCTTTTGCCCCAAAGGGAGTGCCTGAAAGCCATAAGGGCTTCAGCCCCCATTGGAACTTCATCTCTTCTGGGCAGCTTTCCTTGGCCTTCCCAGGAAGCATTAAGTGACCACCCCTCTGCATATAGAGCCTCTGTTTACAGGTCCTCCACCTGGCAGTGTATCAGCCTCCTCCCTGCACAGCAGGCTCCCCGAGGGCGCTGCTGCTCATCTGTGCATTCTCAAAGCACATAGTAGGTGCTCAGTAACAGCTTACAAACAGGTCCAGGTGAAAAGAGCGGCAAAATCAAAGCTCTTCTGCCCATTCCTGCCACTGATAAGCCTCTTAGGAACTCTGCACAATAGAGCTCTGTCAGCTTAGCAGAACTATTGTCATCTTCAGATGATAGGGAAATTCTAAAGTGGCTTGCCCCTTCAATAGGCTTTGTTACTTTGCCAGTCATGCAGAACACTGCTGGTAAAATGTGGGAGACAGACACCTGGAAGACAGTACCACTTTCAGACCAGCTATGAACTAGAATCGACTAGCAGCTAAGATCTCACCAGCCACATAGAGAGCAGTCTGTTCTGTTCAGCTAGTGTGGGATCAAATGTGGGGTTGTGAGGTCAGGTGCATGCACACGTACTCAAACTCACACTCACACACTACTTGGCTAAGATGTATTCTCCTGGGCTTGTTCAGTGCTTTGTTAAAATATGAATATCCTTCAATTCTCTCTAATTGTGGGTGGAATAAGCCCGAGGCCATCAACTTATAAAACTTCACTTGCAAAACAGTCATTTAGAACTCAGATCGAAATCAGAAAAGGATTATACTGAAGTGGGTCCCATAAAAGCTCACTTAAACTGCAGGGTAGTGGCAGGCTTGTTTCTCAGGCAAGAATGGCTATATTAAGGGCTAAAAAAAACCTTTCCAGGCCAGACCCATTGCAGGAGTCCAAGCCCAGGCCCAGTTATATAGAGCAGCCCACCTCACCACCTTTGCTGTGGGCAGCAGAGACGTTTAGTGGGAAGGCCTGGGCTGGAGGTAAAGTGTGTGGTTCTTGCTTAAAAAAGCCTCTCTGCAGCCCCCTCTATAAAACAAGGACCCCTCTGCACCCATCTCCCTCTAGGAATACAAAATAAAGCAACAGAAGAATGAATGGATAAAGAGAATTTGAGATATATATATATATATATATATATATATATATATATAAATTATTACCCCAAAAGAATAATAACTTTATTATATTTGCCAGTAAAGGGATGGAACTAGAGACTATCATGCTAAAAGAAATAAGCCAGTCCTGAAAAATCTAAGGGTGAACATCTTCTCTGCTATGCAGAAGCTAATCCACAATAAGGCGGGGAGGAATAAAAAAACAAATAGAAGATAGGTGGGGTAGACAAAGGGGAATAAAGGGAAGGAATGGGGGAATGGAATAAAGAAAATTAATGGAACAAATCAGATATAATATTCCTATGTACATAAATAAATATACCATAGTGAATCTTACCATCATGTACATCCTCCAGAAATTAATTTAAAAAAATAACTATAGGTAAATGTAGAAAGATCAGTAGAGTAGAAGAAAGGGGCCGGGGGCAGAGGAAGGGAAGGGGAAGAACTGGGGACTGAATTAGAACAAAATATATTCCGTGTTTTTGTAATTGTGTTCCAAAATAGATTCTACTGTCATATATAACTAGAAAGAACCAATAAAAAATAAGAATAATTTAAAAAAAAAAAAAAAGAAAAAGAAAACGTAATAGAAAGTGAAAGCTCTGGGAAATGAGAAGGAAAGGAGGGGACTGGGAAGAAAGGGAAGGACCGCCAGACCTCCCCTCTCCAGGGCAGGGTTAATCTCCATAGAACCTGCCATCTTCTCTCCCAGAGTATTAACCAAAGGACAATTCTGTCCCAACCACCAAAGCTCTCACGCTCCCACATGCCCCCCCAGTCATTGTGCCCTCTGCTTCCAGGACGTACCCACAGTCCACCCAGCAGATGGTGCCTTGTCCTTTCACTGCCTGGGCCACAGTGGACAATAACCTGAGATGATTTTCAGCTGCTGCCTCTGTAAAAAAACAAAACATTAAACATTTGTATCTAGGGGTTCTGGAAGAACAGCAGAAGGGAAAGGCCTCTCATTGGTCCAGTGACAGTCCCTGTGGATCTGGGCAAAGCACCTGGCTACTATTACAGGATGCAGGGTCTTGGGGACCAGCCTCTGTGGCCAGTGTTTGATACCGACACCCTACAGACTTCTGATCACCTTCCCACGTGTATCCCTAGTCAGCAAGCTCACTCAAAAGGCCCGCCAGGCAGATGCAGGCAGGGAGAGCAATCTGTTGCCTCTTACACCAAAACCCAACCGATATGTCCCAAAGCCAAGCAGAAATGATGTCTGAATTATAAGCCTCCGCGGATCTTCTCTTCCAGTGTGGATAATGGTAGCTGTTTGTAGATACAAAAAAAAAAAAAGCTGATCCTTTCAGACACCAATAAAAAGCATCATGCAAGAAATACTCCTGAGCCTTCAGAGGAGGCCCTCCCAGGAAGCCATGGCCAGGCAGGAGGAGGGCAAGCCACTCCTAAAGTGCAGGCAGGGGTGAGGCAATAAAGGACAGCAATACAGAAGTACCCCACCACCTGTCCCAACCCTGCCTTTCAGTCACAGAAAGGGAGGGAAGAAAAAATTCAGCTTCTCTGATGCTCAGAAAACCCACTGGGGTCACAAGACTTGTGTGACAGGTGTGGGCAAGGGGGCAGGGGGCTGAGATAACTGCCCAGGCTTCACCCCCAGCACTCCAAAGCAGGAAGGAGACTGGAAAGTCAGCAGCACTGGGAGCTCTACCGTCAGGAAACTGAGGCAAGGCTAGGCCAGGGGCAGAGACGAGAGCTCAGGCCCGACATACCCCACTCTCACGCTTGCTGTAAAAGGCCCTGTCTGTGCCTTACACTGATCTCAAAGTCCTCTGTCACTGCAGCATTAACCAATTTCTTCCTATCCTCCATCAGAGGACACCAGAAGCAGAGGCAACTTAAGGGTCCAGCTCTGCCACCCCTAGAAAGGAGACCTCAGGCAAGTCAGTTACTCCCTGTTAGCTCCAAGGACCTCAACTGTAAACTGGTTGCTATCAGACAGAGTGCACAACCTCCCCTGTGGCAAGGAAGCGAATGAAATTGTCTCATAAAAGTACTGTGTGTGTCATAAAAGCACCTTGTATCCTGAGAAGGAGCCGAGCATCCTTCTTCACTGACAACCAACCCAGCTCCAGGAATGTCTAAGGGAGGGAGCCAGGTTTATTCAGAGGCCCGTACCTGGACCTCCAGAGAAACACTGCTTCCTCCCTGCCTCAGTTTCCCCCTTGCCTCAGTTTCCCTGCTATTCCTGATAGCAGAGGAAGGCTCCTCACATTCTAGGCTTCCAAAAGCAAACTCAGGGAGTGTGTGTGCCAGGCCCTTGTAAAAGGAAGGAGCAGCAAGTGGCCACAAGAATGGCCATGTGCCACGGACACTTGGGGAGCACAGGATTCAGGAGGGTCACGCGTCCAAAACATCCATCAGCCGCAAGTGCCAATGATGTCGAGGATGAACTGCCAGGGAGAGCTGTGCCCAGAGCTGGCCAGCTATTGGCTGCTGCTTCTCCGGGAGCACAGAAAACTTGACATCCTCGGGAGCTGCAAAAAAACCCTTCACTCTGCTGGAACAAGATCAACCGTCAGCCATTTGCCCTTCCCAAAGTTGCTGCCAAGAGCCAGGCCAACCTCTCTCTGTGTCCACAGTGCCCTTGCCAGCCTCAAGGTCAGAAGACAGGCAGGCTGTTGCTCCTGCCCCAGTGAAGCTGCCATGCCGAGCTTAGGGCCCACTCCAAAGCCAGTCTTGCATGTCTTGTGTCTGACCCCAGAGGGAGACAGATGGGGACCAGGCAGGGCCAGGGCTGCTGGCCCGGGTGAGTGCCTCCACACTTGGGACTGATTCAGCTGGCAACAGGCAAACTCAGGCAGCTCATCAATAGCTCCAGCAAAACATACCCGGGTGAGGCTCAGCGCTGCCCGTGCAGGAAGCCAGTGTCCATACCACTGTGGTTTACTGTCCTCCCAAGGTAGTGAGGGGCTCCAGAGCACTTTCCCAAGGAGTATTCATAATCAAGAATTGAAATGACCCTCGGGATGCAAAAACAGCTGAATAAATGCCTGTATGTAACTCTGCCTCAATCTTCACTGACACTCTAACATCCCAGGACCCTCCCTCAGTGGCCTTAATCCTAAGGTCTCCCTTACCACCTGTACCCCCACCCATCTTACAGAGCAACAGATTGCTCTTGTGCACTCTATCTGATGGCAACCAGTTTACAGTTTATGGATGATGACAAGATCAGGAGAGACACTCACCAGATTTGGAGTAAAGCACCAGTACGTTATTCCGGGTCCTGAGAATTTTTTTCAAGTCCTTGGGGTCAGAGATCCTCTCAATGAGCGAGGAGACCTTTGTGGAGGATAGCCACGTAGGAAGGACTACCTGTGGATCAAGAAGCCATGGACCATGAGTCCCAGTTCCCAGCCTGGCTCAGGGGAGAATCAGTGCCTAGGTACGTGGCACCAAGAGCACATTTTCCTTCTAAGGAATGAGGTTACCAAACCTTCTCAGGGCACCACCACACCCGCCTCTTCACCTCCAGAGGCACCTCCCAGCCCACTCCCAGTCTCCACCTTGCCCTCCCGCTCCACACACTTTATGAGGCTAGATGGATGGTGTGGGTACACAGGCATACAATGTTATCACCCCAATAGAAAGCTCCTGGGAGGTCAATGTCTGTAACTGTATACATTTCCCAAACGCCACACACTGGTGCCATATGAAAACTCCATCCACTTAGAAGCACTAAGCAGAAAACCACAGAGAATCAAGATCTCCCCTTTGTGTTTGGGATGGGAATGGACGAAAGGTGTTAGTTTTTATCACTCAGCTAACAGATCTCAGCACTGAAAAATATTCCTAGGGAAAAAAAAAATTAAAAAGGACACACAATAAGAAAAATAAGTGAATGAATCCATTAGGTACAAGAGCCAAATTAAAAAAAAAACACACATACACACAAAGGGAGAAAACTAAGGAAAAGAAAGTATCCAAAAAAAAAAAGAAAAAGAAAATGTTGTAATAGGAAGGGTGTGTCTTCAGCTGAGAGAGCCCAGCATCATGAACAAAAAAAGACCCTCACCAAGGTACAGTACTGTGGACAAAGAGGATATCATATAAGCTTCAAAAGGGAAAATGCACCCCAAAAGACAATGAAATGATGCCTTCACAATTCTAAAGGAGCATGATAACCAAATGGAATTCTATAACCAGCCAAACTGTCGTGAGCATAGATTTACTCATGCAGACCAAAGATATCAGATTTGCAAAATTTACCACCAACACACTCTTTCTCAGGAAGCCACTGGGATTCATGCTGTGGCAAAATAAGAAAGGAAAAATGAAACCAACATGGAACCTAGGATCTAGCAGATCAGAGACAAGAAGAATTACCATAATGATGGTGAAGAGATGTCCTGGGACAACAGAGGCTACAGAGCGACCAGTCTGGACTAGAACAAGGTCAGAAATCATAGAGGGATGTGATCAGTAAAAAGGGGCAACTCGAGACTATTTGATGTATTCCACAATACTGAGAAGAGTTTTGATTTCTGTCAGAAAATTTTAAAAACAAAGAATCTGATCAAAATGACACAGCTAATAAGGCCAGCCAGGACATCTGAATCCCAGTCTCTCTGCTCGCCCCCATGCCTCTCAGTCTACGGCTTCTTGGTAGACAGAGGTCTAGAGTTGAGTCTGGGCTCTACCACTCTACAACCAAGATTCCAGGCAACATCACTCAACTTCCAGGGGCCTCATGACTCACATCTGACCTGGGGATAATACCTCCTTCGTGAGACTGCTGTGTGGATGAGATGGGAGGACTTAGTGAACATGCTTTATAATTCATATAAGCTGTCAATATCAGTTACCATAATATATAACACAAATTTCCATCTCAGCAGAGTGGAAGACAGAAAACATGACCATACTCCAGTGCTTCTAAACCATCTACCATTGGGATCCAGAGGTCCTTCTCCCCAGAGTACAACCTTCCAAGAGGAAGACAAGGAATTGGGCTGGGTTGTGGCTTGCCTAGTAAGGCACTAAGTTCAATTCTCAGCACTGCATATAAAAAAATTAATTAAATAAACGTCTATTGACAACTAAAAGGATATTAAAAAAAAAAAGTCGAGGAATTATTTCTCCTTCAGTCTGCCCTGCCCATCCTGCCCAACCTGGACGCAATGCTTGAGGACCCACTGCCCTTGTGCAACCTTAAAAGTGTACCAAAAAGCTCCTCCAACTTGATTAGTATGTGTTATCCAACTGCTCCCAGGGAGCTAATGAACTTCAGTCTAAAATGTCCATAGCTCAATGCACATGGTGATGAGAGAGAAGGAAAAAAAAAAAAATCTGTTTAAAAAACAGATTGCCTTGCTGCTGTTTTTAATCCTCAGATAATCTGACCAGTCAAGAAAAACAACTGCCCTGGCCCAGGACTCTGACCTCTAGGCCAGCCCTTCCTGAGCCTGGCAGGCACCTACTTTTGGAACCTTGGAGAAGGAAAAGGGAAGAGCTGCCCAGGCAGAGGCATGCAGCTGGGCCTCAGGGACAACCATGTCCACACAAGAAACCACAGGAGCCTGTCTCCGGCACAGCTTAGCTTCCTTCCTATAAAACCAGTCAATCCCTCAGGTCATCTGACCAAAGGCCACCTGAGATTAAACAAGCCACTTTCCAGCCAGCCACCAAAGCCTCTAACCCAATGTTTACCATGACACAGTAGAGAATTTAAGCTCCACAGGAAATACACTGAGCAAATTGACTTTGCCTGAAACCTATTACCAGTCATGAAGCTGGGCTAACAGGGAGCACTCCCTGCAGTCTGCCTGCTGGTCTCCATGAAGGGTCTGTCTCCCCACCCTCACCTCCACCGCCATGATTAAGAACTCTAGAGGGCAGGGTCCACGGAAAGCCCTCAGGAAATGTTTGTCCAGCTTAATAAACATGACAAATCACATCCATTAACACACTGACCTGCAGAGGTCTCCTACCAAGAGTAGGTCAGGAAGAAGGCTAGTACATGGCAGGTCTCAGGAGCCCTGGAAGGGACCACAGAACCTGGAAAGACCAACACACAGTGAGGGTCGGGGTTGGAGCCAGTGAAAGAGCAGGGGGCTGGCCTGGGAGTCCATGGTCTGGGCAGGAAGCAGGTGGGAGGATGGCTGGCCAGTTAACAAAGGGGTGCAGGAATGAGTGTGGGACTGTATAGACTCATCAAGCCACTGGGCTGGTGGTATAAAGACCAGCTGGGCAGCTACCCCAGTGGAGAAAAAAGGGTCAATCCAAATGCCATGGAGGGACAAACTACAGATTCAATGACTGCTCACAGGTAAGCGAGGAAGAAAGATGAAAAGCCCAAATGTCTCTGAGGAATCTGGGCTAGGAGACCGGAACCCATAGCTAAAGGTGGGAGAGTGGGAACAGTAGCTGAGGAGGCTTTTCTCTTGGGGTAAGGCTCAAGGTGGAGACGTGTGAGCAAGAAGGCACCCAAAGAGGGTGAGCCACAGAATGTCTGAAGTCTCTGTGGGTGGGCCAGAGGAGCAGACAACCAAGAGGGAGGTGGGAAGGCAGCTCTCAGACCCCACCTGACAAGAGACACAGGAAAGGCAGGCCAGGCTGAGTGGTGAGGGGCTGGGAAGGGGCCCAAGGCTTAGCAAGGTCCCCAGGACATCGGGAGAATTTCAGATGGGGAGGGTTTGGTAGCAGGCTGCTGAGCAGTCACATCCAGTGCAAGAGCTAGTGACAAAGGAGGGGTGAGAAGGCCCAGCAGGGTCAGGAGGAGGGGCTGTCTCCTCCAAGACTGAGCCCGCAGGCATTCCTGGGCACAAAAGAAGGAGGATTTGCCTAGAGAAGCAGGATTTGAAGGTCTGAAAGGGAGAGGGGAAAACAATGGGGATAGCAAGATCCAGACAGAATCCAGGAAGACGTGGTCCAAAGAGCTCAGATGTGAGGCCTCAGGTTCTGAGGTAGGGAGGGATGACAGGCCCTCTGTCCCCTCAGACAGACCTCACCCTAGCCAGCAACCTCAGAGGTGGGCAAGAGGGAGGCACTTCCTCCCTCCCTATAAGCCCAAGGGGACTTCCTCAGGCCACTTAACATTCCAGGTTCTCCACTCCTGCCTGCTTAACCTTTCAGTGTGCACGCTCCTTCCTTTCCAGGAGATGCAGCTCCAGTGAGCCTGGATGGCCAGCCCAGGGCCTTCCTGCAGACTCCATAAGTCACAACCCACAAACCTCAGTAACAACAATAACTAGAGCTACAATAACGACATTAATGATGCAAAGACTGTTCTTTTGTCGCACCCTCTGGGGAAAGAGTGGTATTAGACAGGTGCTCCCAGCCAGCCTGCTTGCCTGTGTTTGGCAGGCTCTTCACATTCGAAGTCAGAGGCTCTAGAGGTGGAGAAAAAGGCTCCCCTTTGTTCACCATGCAAACTTGTCTGACTACACCAGTCACTGCCTGCTTCCTGCTTATCAGCCCTCCAATTTACCTTGGGGCTGAGCTGACACTCATACAACATCTCCACAGTGCAGGTCAAACACTGCAAAGGACCCTGTCCCCCTTTTCAGCTGCCAGGGGAACAGAGGCCCGCAGGCCAGATCCTGCTTGTATCAGAAAACCAGCCCTCTACCCAGTTACAGTATCAGATCCCCAATCTGTCACAGCACAGCACTAGCACCCTACCCTCCCCCACACTAGGCCCCTTCCACCATCTTCCTGCCTCCATCAAAGTACAAGGCTCTCTTCAGAGCCCAGGAAGCACCCCGCATGCCTACATGCTGGTCCAATGGTAGCATTCCTTCCTCCTGTACCAGGTATCTGTCCGTCTCCAGCCACCCAGCTCGCATGTCTCTAAGCTCTGCCTTCCTCCTCTCCCTTTGCTGGCTCCCAGACACTGTGGAAAGTGCACTGACTTTGAAGTTGGACAGACCTGGGTGAACTTAGGTGTCACCATTTATAGTATGATGACCTCAGGCTTGTGATAGACCTCTGAGTGTCATCTATGGCCGGAGGATAGAGAGGATACCACCAATGCCTACAATGAGGAGGGAAAAGGATACGACGACCCTAACATAATGCTCAGCACATGGAAGAACATAATAATTAAATACCTTTATGAGTACTATTAATAAGCAAGGACAACAGAAAAGCAGGACCACCTCTTCCTCTCTAGGGCCCTGCCTGCAATCAGGCAAAACAGCAAGTCCAGGCAGGAAGGAGCACACACGTACGCACATTTAGCACCAAAGAGCCTGGTGGCGTCAGCCAACTGCACAGCGACCCAGATGGAGAGGTCGCCCAGCACATTTGGAGTGTGCTTTCCAGGAATCACGTGCATTGGCTCTTTGACCCCTCATCATAGCCCAGGGAGTGGG